GACGATACTTGCGGCTCTTGGGTTTGCTCCTTCGACTGCTGACCCGTCGCTGTTTCTACGCACCGACACTACTCTGCCGCCGTTCTACATCCTCGTGTACGTCGACGACTTGGTTTTTGCTACTGCTGACACTGAGGCACTGACCCTAGTGAAGGCGGAGCTGCAGGAGAGACACACCTGCACTAACCTGGGTGAGCTGCGAAGCTATCTTGGCTTGCAGATCACCCGGGACAGACCACGGTGCACCATCACCCTCACTCAGTCGCACATGGTGCACCAGGTCCTTCAGCGCTTCCGCTTCACGTACTCCTCGCCACATCCCACTCCTCTGGCTACCGGCCACTCGCTCTCAGCTCCACCTTCGGACGAGTCCGTAGAGCCGAGTGGTCCGTACCCAGAGCTTGTGGGCTGCCTCATGTACCTGATGACGTGCACACGACCTGACCTCGCGTACCCTCTCAGCCTTCTGGCTCGCTACGTGGCACCCGGTAGGCACCGAAAGGTGCACTTTGATGCTGCGAAGAGGGTACTACGTTACTTGTGCAGCACATCGGGCATGGGGCTCGTGCTTGGAGGACGGGGTTCGGTGGTCCTCACAGGACACTCTGATGCTTCTTGGGCCGACGACCAGGCGACTCAGCGTTCGTCACAGGGCTACACCTTCAGTCTTGGCGCTGGTTCTGTCTCATGGAGGTCCACTCGTTCTTCTTCTGTGCTTGGTTCCAGTTGTGAGGCCGAGATCTACGCTGGGGCCATGGCTGCACAGGAGCTCCGCTGGCTGACCTACCTGCTGACCGACTTGAGGGAGCGGCCTCGTTCTCCTCCAGTTCTGTACGTCGACAACAAGGCAATGCTTGCCTTGTGTCGCGAGCAGAGACTGGAGCACAGAACGAAGCACATTGCTCTGCGCTACTTCCTTGCGCGTGAGCTGCAGCAGCGTGGTCAGCTGCGCCTTGCTTTCGTCGGGCCAACACTGCTGATGTCTTCACCAGTGGGGCTGGTGATCATCAGCGTTTCTGCACTGCTCTTGGGCTTGTGCCCACTCTGCCTCACCTGCTGGTTGCTTGACTTGCTCTTGTTGTACACTGCTATATATCTTTATACCTGCATGTTTACTCTTGCTAGGTTGTGATCTGTGTACTGCCTTGCTATTATAAATCTGCATGTGAACTGGCCTTGTGGCCGCCTGCTTGTGCTCAGATTGTGTGTGGTGTCCTTGAGATCCACCCTGGGCTTTGCCTTGCTTGTTCTCGTGCTTGACTGGTCTTGTGACCACTGTTAGGTTTGGCTATCCCCTACTTCACCTATGGGGGTGTGTCAAAACACATTGTTCTGTTCATCTTACTCTAGGTTGTGTAGGGGTCACACCTTAGAGGGTACAACCCAACTCTCTCGACATCCTTGTACCCCCTCCCTCTTACCTAATCAACATTCCTTCCTAGTATTCTAACATAAGGCTAACTGGCAGGGCCGCAGATAGGTTCTGGGCTAGTCTGAAAAAACATATTATGTACAAAACAAAATAAAAAGCCGAGAATCAGAAGAATCAATCATTTTATGCCATTCTACATTATAAATCTTAAAGGTTTTCCTGTTTTTTTCAAATAAAAAACAAATGCTGGAAAATCAGCCCTACTTCTAGAAAATGTCTGAAATCTCAGCATTTTTTTCTCTGACTTTTGAGGCCCTGGTAATTGGGAATAGACAAGATAGACGGAGAGGCAGAAGGCAGGTGTAGAGGGGGCACTTGTTTGTGTAATCCACGTTCAGTGAAGAAGAGTGGGGGTGACCAGAGTTGTAGAAACTCATTGGTGAGACAGAGCGCAAAAATAATTACTGCTTGGCAGATTCCCGTCCCCACCCCTGGCCCCACGCGTGTTGCGGGCTCGTCCATGAAGTGGAGGTACATGAGAGCACAGCCGGGCAGGGGGCGGTCGGCCGAGACGGAGAAGCGCCACACGAGCACGTCCAGCAGCAGCTCCACCTCCGCCTCTCCCCTCGCCCGCCACCTGCCCTAGGAATACAAGACAATATGAAAGGTCATAGCTAGCCATGTAATTTGAGGGGTACATTCCCATATTACAGCTATATCGGAACCGTGCAGCATGAGAACCCGTTTGGATCATGTTCCCGCCATTTCCCTTTCGAATGTTTCTACCACCATTGGTCTGGATGGTGACCGTCTCTGACTCTCCGGTTCGTCCCGACCCTTCGTCTCCATAATCGGTAATATCTGTTCCCGTTATTGTAACACTGTTTTGACTGTATAGGATGTGGAATATGAGCGCACAATACGAGATAACCATTCAGATTGTACAGGAGGGGACATGAAGTTTTGTTTCCCTCGTGCCGAAGGGGGCATGAGGCCAGAAGTGTTGTGGCGACTTGGCGTCGCACGCACTTGAGGCGAAAAATGGCTTGCACTCTGACATCCCAACCCAATGCCCCTTTCCCCCTTTCCCTCAAATGCAGCCACATAGCCTTGAGAGCAAGCGCGCAACTGTGGTTTCACCAACCTCCACATACAACTGGTGCAGGCACACCAACCGATCGAAACAGACAGGGGCTATATGAAAGGACGAATATAGCATTTCCCGACCACAGAAACTAAACAGCTTGCTAGTCCCAACCTGTATATATGGTCAGGCCGGAGCCTATTACCAGCCTGTAAACGTTGAGAGTGAGGTCTACACACCCCATGATAATATACTAAGAGCATACGTTTAAGAGTTGGTGGCATTATGCCTTTTAGGACCTTGCAAATAAGGGGTTGAACAATACCGGAATCCGGTCTGGATGGGCTCGGTCTCATTCGCAAATTTCGACCTGACCCTCAGCAACGGGTTCACAGTCACAAGGACAAACGAAAACGGTTTTGGGAGACTCCCTCTCACTCTCGAGGGGACACTGTGGAACAAGAGCTGAAACGACAGCCGAATGTTAGGACGTGGGCCCAATCGAGTTTGATCGCGACTGATCTGATCGGGTCGGATCTGGTCGGGTTGCTTGTGATCGCAGTGCCCGAGCCGCCCGATCAGAGATGTTTTTCGTAGAAGCTTTTCAGCGCCTGCTCAGCAAGCGCGTTACATTTACCTTGCATTTTCGTCCCCATTTTAGCGAGATTGGCGACCAGATTTCACCTCGCAAAGATCTTCGTTTTCCTCTAAGTGCAACAGTGTAACTACTCGCAAGCATCGCTGTGGGCCCCGATCACATGCAATCAAGTGATCGCCTGTGATCGAGGAAAATTGGCTCTGATTGGGGTAAAAATTGGGTCTGATCGAGCTGGGGTGATCAGTTGATCGCGATCAGCTGATTGCCCCCGATTGCCTGAAATTGGGTTCCAGGCTTCCTAGAAATTATTGATCGCGTGTGATCGAGGCGATCAAACTCGACTGGGCCCACGTCCTTAGGGGGACAGGTTCTGTTCTTTGCTAACGAAACACGGAGACTCATCAGGACGAACCCAAACCAGGGTTGTCTATAAACGAGCTCACACCGAGACTTTTGGGTTTTCAGGGTTACTTTCGAGCTCACACCGAGACTTTCCTCCCTTTCCGGGACAGTTCCGTTCCTTCCACGACTGGGCTTTTCGGAGTCGAAAGTGCTCCCAGAAAAAGCGCCCAGTAAACGAGATCGCACATCCCCGCTAGCATACTGGCAAAGTTGTGTGAGAAACATTTCGGGGACGGGCCCGAAAAGAGCCTCTCTTTTCAGGGGAGGAACCTTGTCGGCTTGCAACCAAGTAAAAACCAACATTTACATTCAACCAACGAACTCGTGGGACCACTTGATCGCTGGATGGGGCTGGGAGAGACCACAAACATCGCTGTCTTGTACGGTTACTAATGAAGAAACCGAACAATGTGTTGTGTACGTACACTGCTGTGCAGTCATTGAACCGCAACTGGAGCTGTACCCTGTCCTGAGAGTTTTGCTCAAACTCGCGGAATCGCGGTTTGTTTTATTTTCGCCACGTGGCATGCCTTCGATCGCGGGAACCGCGAACTGATTTATTGTTCCCACAAAGTTCAAGAGAGATTTAGTTAAGTTTTGTACTGCGCTGCCCACGGGCAAAAATAAAACCCATTTGGGCCTGGTATGCGTTAGGGAGGCATCAACCCTAAACGCCTTGCCTCTAGGTGTTTAGGATTGATGCATCCCTAACGCATGCCTTTCCTATAGGGTTTTATTTTTGCCCGAGGGCAGGGCAGTACATGTGATCCACTAAGTCTAACTATATTTCTCTTGAAATTTGTGGGAACAATAAAACAAATCGCGGTTCCCGCGATCATAGGCGTGCCACGTGGCGAAAATAAAACGAATCGCGATTACGCGGGTGTGAGCAAAACTCTCACACTGTCCTGCTTGAAAACGTGCGCTGTTGTGCCATGGTTCGACTCGCTCGCGTCGCGACGCAACGGAATTGCTGAAACGAGTTTGTGATGTGTTCCAACCAAGCTCCAACTTGTTGTGAGAGCTATGCAACCACCAAGAATCTTGCTCTGTGCATACGTTTGAACGTTTATGCCTCGGTTCTCTACTCCGACCTTAAGGGCGTGTGTCCTTTGGCGAAAATTGTCGAAGTTCGAACTTCAACCGCTTTGAACCGTGGCGAAACGTTTTCCGACTGTATTCTCTCTACAAGTTCGAACTTTGGCAAAAGGAGGCCCCCAAGGACACACGCCCTTAGGACAGTACTACAACTAGGATTCCGTCTGCGACTTCTAGAGCGGGGTCGGAAGTATCGACCCTTCGAGATTTGCAAAGAAGTGCGAGCTGTTCGCTATCACGCGTTGGGTATCCCCAACAACCAACAGACTGTGGTGCGAAGCTCAAGTCACACCCAATTGAGATTATCTGTACACACCTTCATGAAGTACTAGAAAGCGCGATTAGTCGTCCGATACTATCATAATTACGGATAGCACTACTCCAGGTGCGCGCAGTATCGGCGTGCATCCGCCTCTGTCTCTGGCACCCGCCCACAGCATTGTACCATGGACCTGGTGCGGAAATTCAAGCGACGATTGCGCAGCATTGGCGGCGCGAGTGGAATCACCGCGACAGCCGGCGCGGGTGGGAGCTCCGCGGAATGCGCGGGTGACTGGCCGTCTGGCGTCATCAGCAAGTCCTTTTCCGTTGAATGTGGCGCTCCTCACGCTGGTCCAAACCCGTTGCTAGGAGCAACGAACTCACATGCTCGTCCAATCCCAAAAAATCACAGCATCAACACTAGTGATAGCCGTCTACAGGGGAAGGAGCTCCAGCTCGATGCTTCTGGCGTGACAATTTCGGAAGAGGAGGACCGGCGGCAACGGTCTTCAAGGCCGCCGAGGCGAACGCAGCGCGCGGTATCGCAGCATGAACGGGACGCTGGAGCCGGAAAATCAGGCCAGCGTTGCCGCGCCGACGAATGCGCCGGCGGCGCCGGCGAATCCGGCGCGGATCACTCGCGGGGATCGAGGAGCGACGTGGAAGACTGCGGGTCGGACGAAATCAAGGGTGATGATTTGCAGCGGCGGCACACGTGGCAGGTTCAGACGCAGCGTCACGCGTCCGACATCGCCGCTGCAGCGGCCTTGCCAGAGTCTGCCAAAGCTTTCGCAAACAACCGCCACTCTAGTAGTAACCGTAACGAAGAGTTTTCTTATGAGTTCGCGCAATCTGCGAGCTTCGCGGCGTTGGGGTCTCTGCCAGGGACCGGTGCAGCGGGCCTGCCGCCGCGTCTCACGGAAGCGCAGCTGCTGCTGATACAGGCGGCGCAGCATGCAAGCAGCAGCGGAATGGCGATCGATTGGGCACGTCAACAGCAGCAGCAGCACCGGAAAGTGACCGACTGGCTGGGAACGCTCTCTGACCAACTTGAAGTCGACGCACTCACCGAAACCCCGTTCGCTAGCGCGGAACTGCCACACGAAGCGAGTGCGTCTATAGCGAATCATGAGACTGCCGCGGCACTGCTAGCAGCGGGTCGCGTGCCTCGCGTCGCCGCATGCGTTTCGCCTTCTGATTCCGACGGGCGCGCCGCGTCGCTCAACCCGCCGGCCGACGGAGACATGGTGGTGACGGTCAACCGGCAACTAAAGCTGGAGTGCGCCGGCAGTCCGTCGGGAACGCCGAGTCCCGGGGTGCCAAGCCCGCGCGGCGTGATAATGCGGGGCAGCGGTGGCACGGGAAGCAGCGGGGACGGGGAAGAGGCGGAAAACGACCGCCAGCGGAAGGCGAGCGGACGGAGAGATTGCGAGGCTACCAAAGCGGAAGCGACGGATGATTGGGTCCCTGGTTGTGAGCGGACGGCACGGCGAGACTGCAAGGGGAGCTGCAGCGACGGGGACGGCAGCGAGTGCGGCGGCGACCTCGAGGGCGGTTCGCGCGGCGGCAAATGGAGCGCGGATGACGCGGCCACAGCGTGCGTATCGAAGCATCCGGGAGCGAGCGACAATGCGTTGTTGACAAGCGTGCGCGTCGCGTTTAATCAGCTCGTGGCGACCCGCCAGTCGGAGCAGGTGCGGGGGGCAAGGGCGCTTCGGGACCTGGCGCGGGAGAGCGACGCGGTGCGGAGCTCAATCGTGGCCGTCGGCGCCATCCCCGCGCTCGTCTCCATCGTGAATCTCGCCGCGTCCGCTCCTCACGCCGCCGCCACCGGCGACACCACCGTCGCGTCGCTTATCCTCGACGGCGATGGCGGCGCGGCGGCAACGGAAACTGGCGCGCCGCTCGTCGGTACTAGGCTTGGATCCGCTTCGTGCGAGGAGGGCGGAATTGAAGCGGCAGCGCAGGGAGGCCGCGAGCGCGCCTTGACTAGCCCGTTAGTGGACTACTCGATATCGTGCCTGGTGAATCTGAGCATCACTCGCGATATGAAGGCCACCATCTGCCAGGCGGGCGCCGTCCCCCCGCTCATCCGCCTCATGTGCTCCGCGCGCGCGCCCTCGTGCGCGCCCGCGTGCGCCTGCTGCGCGCCCACGTCCGCGTCCACGCGCGCGAACGCGGCAGTGGCGCTGCTGTCGCTGTCAAAGCTGAGTGACGCTACGAGGCTGCACATGGCTTACTCAGGAGGCGTCGAGGCGCTCGTCCACTTCCTCTCTGATACTCCTTCTGACGCTCCTGACTGCCCTGCTGCCGCTGCTGGTGCGCCTGCTACTGGTGGGCTGCAGGGCAGTGGCAGCAGCAAGAGTTGCAAGGGGCGGAGGGAGGCGGCAGCAGCGCTGCAGAGCCTAGCGTCAGTGCCAGCAGTGCGGCCACGGCTGGTGCACGCAGGAGCCGTGCCGCTGCTGCTGGAACTGGTTGGCCATGCTGCGGCCTCTCACCTCACATGCAGCAGCAGATTCCGCGGTGCAGAGAGGAGGACAGAGCGGACGAGCCGCACGGAGGACGATGCAGTGGCTACTGCCGAGCGGGCGCTGGCAGTGCTGGCGTTGCTCGCGGAGAGCGAGGAGGGCAGGGCGGAGGTGCAGCGGAGAGGGGGGATGGAGATGCTGGTGGGGGTGGTGCGTGCGGGTGGGCCCTCAGGGACGTGTGTGGAGCGGGCGATATCAGGGCTGACAGCCATGGTGGGAGGGAGCCTGAATTGCAGATGGGAGGTGGCAAGGATTGGTGTGGAAGGGGCAGTGAAGGAGGTGGCTATCCATGGAAGCGGGAAAGCCAAGGTTAAGGTGAGTAATGAGGGAGGATCCACAGCTGCATTTGTTGACTTTTTTTTTTGCCTCCCTTTCCTTTCTCTTGCCTCTCTGTCTGTCCCTCGGTACCAATCGCAATAGCATGTTTCTGTTGTTGGTGGCCGACTCACCTCAGATTGTGAGATGCGCATGGCTTTCTTATCATGTCTTGCCATTTCGTTCACCCACAATGGCAGGCAATAAAGTTCATGGACATGCTTCGAGCACCTCCTGCGCTAGGATGAAGGTGACATCATACGGCCTCCAACTCGCTTCATCAAATGCTATTCTTAAAGCCCGAGTCTAGAATGGCAAGGGTTCAAGTTCAAGATTCTTGAACATGATTTCGCAGGTGAACACGGTAACCTGCTTTTCTGTGGGGCTCTCTCGCGATCCAGTGTGAAGGTGTTTGAAGGGCAGGAATGTGATTGGATAAAAGCACAACAGCAAAACCACCAACGACCCTCGCCAGAACAAACAAAAACTGACACAACTGTTCACACTTCCGGAAACTTGAAGCTTGAAGCTACCTTTCTAGACTCGTTTAGTAGTAGGCTCCATAGCCCACAATAATATCGCCAGCTACCGATAACTACACTCCCAATTCATCCGATCGCTCGCGGTAGGCGCAAGTGAAATCTCATAAACCATCTCTTCCGTTGTATCCGCCGCTCCGGCTTCTCCAGTCGCACTCGACCCTCCCGTCTCTCTAGTCCCTCTCGTCGTTCCCGCTCTTCCCGTCGCCCTCGTCGCGTCTGTCCTGGCCGCCGCTCCCGTCACTCCCGTCCCAGTCGTGCCTTCTGTCCCTCCTCCGTCCCTCCCGTCCTTCCCGTCGCGGACGTAAGTCCCGTCCCTCCCGTCGCCCAACACCCTCCGTCCCTTCCGTCCCGCGCCTCGCTCCTGTCCTTCTCCTCCCTCCCGTCCATCCCTTACCTCTCTGCCGCTCGTCATCCGTCCCTCACTCGATCCGTCGCGCACTCCCTCCGTCGCTCGAACAAACCCACCGCCCAAACAGGGCAATCGCCTTGCGTCAGCTGATGACCTAGGTCCAGTCGCTCACACACTCCCGTTCCGCACACTCTCTCTCGCCGCTCACGCACTCCCGTCCCTGAATGCGTCCTGTCGCTCACACACTCTCTTCCCGCGCTCACTCATTCCGTCGCTCGCTCACCTTGTAGCGCGCAGCACTCCCCGCCTGTCTTCACACCACGGTTTCAGTTCCCCTGCCTGGACCGCATCCTTTCATTTCCGCATGCAGTCACATCAATGGCTCTGCCATCTGTTCGTCGTCGCGCTTCTCCGCGTCTTCCGCCTCCTATCCTCCTTTCCATGTCAGCACCTCTCCTCCTTTCCCTCTCAGCCCCTCTCCTCCTTTCCCTCTCAGTCCCTCTCCTGCTTTCCCTCTCAGCCCCTCTCCTCCTTACCCTCTCAGCCCCTCTCCTCCTTTCCCTCTCAGCCCCTCTCCTCCTTTCCCTCTCAGCCCCACTCCTCCTTTCCCTGTCAGCCCCACTCCTCCTTTCCCTCTCAGCCCCTCTCCTCCTTTCCCTCTCAGCCCCTCTCCTCCTTTCCCTCTCAGTCCCTCTCCTCGTTTCCCTCTCAGCACCTCTCCTCCTTTCCCTCTCAGCCCCTCTCCTCCTTTCCCTCTCAGTCCCTCTCCTGCTTTCCCTCTCAGCCCCTCTCCTCCTTTCCCTCTCAGCTCCTATCCTCCTTTCCCTCTCAGCCCCTCTCCTCCTTTCCCTCTCAGTCCTTCTCCTCCTTTCCCTCTCAGTCCCTCTCCTCCTTTTCCTCTCAGCCCCTCTCCTCCTTTCCCTCTCAGCCCCACTCCTCCTTTCCCTGTCAGCCCCACTCCTCCTTTCCCTCTCAGCCCCTCTCCTCCTTTCCCTCTCAGCCCCACTCCTCCTTTCCCTCTCAGCCCCTCTCCTACTTTCCCTCTCAGCCCCTCTCCTCCTTTCCCTCTCAATCCCTCTCTTCCTTTCCCTCTCAGCCCCTCTCCTCCTTACCCTCTCAGCCCCTCTCCTCCTTTCCGTCTCAGCCCCTCTCCTCCTTACCCTCTCAGCCCCTCTCCTCCTTTCCGTCTCAGCCCCTCTCCTCCTTTCCCTCTCAGCCCCTCATCTCTTTCCCCTCTCAAAACGGTATGCCCAATGCACCATGCACCATTCCACGTGCCTCATGCCTCATGCACTGTGAACCATGCACTAATCACAATATCCGCCCCTTCCCCGCTCCACCATTTCCCCCTTCCCCCCCACCCACCCCTCCCTCTCCCCTCCACCCCCTTATTAGGTGCTGGGTGCATGATTAGGCTATATTTCATTATACCACTCTCCTCATGCCTCTCGCCTCTCCCCTCCCCCTCGCATCCAACGGCAAATCCTTTGCCCCTTCCCCCTTCCACCTTCCCCCTCTCCCCTCCCCTCACCCCCCACCCCACTGGAAACCCTGGTGTGTGTGTGCCCAGCTGCCATGGGGAACCCTGCCGCCCGCGCCCTGCGCGTCGCCTTACAGAAACACGGCCAGCCGGACATCACATATGCCAGCTGGCAGCCACACTGACACGTGAATTGGCGCCCGGCTCATTCACCCGTTTTTCCCCTTGTCCCTCCCTCACTTTGCCCTTGCCCTGCCCTCCGTTTTTCCCCTTGTCCCTCCCTCACTTTCCCCTTGTCCTGCCCTCCGTTTCCCCCCATGTTTCTCCCACCCTTTTCCCCCTTGTCTTCCCCTCCGCTTCCCCTTCTCCCGTTCATCCTTCCGCTCTCGTCGCTCTCGTCGCTATCGTGTCTCTTGTCGCTCTCATCATTCTGGTCCCTGCCGTCGCACCCCGTCGCTTCCCTCCCTCTAGACTATCCCTCCCGCGCCTTCCTTCTCTCCACGCCTCTAGATTATGCTGTTTTACCCTCCGTCCCTATGCGGTGTCCCCCCTTCCCTCAATCTGCTTTCCCCCTTCACCCCGCCCTCCCTTTCCCTCTTTTCCTACGCGCAGCTTCCCCCCTTCCATGCGCGCTCGCATTCCCCTTCCTGACGAGCTGCTTTCCCCACTTCTCCCCGCGCGGCTCCCCCCTCCCTACGCGCTAGTTTGTGTTTGTACAGGCCCTCTATGCAATTGGTTGTGGTGATGTTGGTGTTTGATAGTACCACAATAACCAGCCATGCCATGTATTCATGGTGGATGCTTTGTTACACGGTAATACAATACAAACCCTGAGCTTATGAGCAGCCATGCACATGACCACTACAAAAAAAGTGCAACAGAGAAAGTACTTTTTTTTTTTTTAGGGAACAACTGACTATCAACACGAAGAAGACAGCTTGGAAATGTAATGTTTTATACCCACTCTAGTCTCTGCTACACTGCATGCAATAAACCCTGGGCCATGGTGCTGGGACTTGTACCCTGCGAGGTTGGAAATGGGGGTGAGTGAAAGGGGGAACAGATTGAGCAGCGGAAAATAGAGTGAACAGAAAGAAACAAAGCGAGTAGGAGGGAAGAGAGTGAGCAGGGGGAAACAGAGTGAGCAGGGGGGAAGAGAATGAGCAGGGGGAAACAGAGAGAGCCGGGGGGAAGAGAATGAGCAGGGGGAAACAGAGTGAGCAGGGGGAAAGTGAATGAGCAGGGGGAAACAGAGTGAGCAGGGGGGAAGAGAATGAGCAGGGGGAAACAGAGTGAGCAGGGGGGAAGAGAATGAGCAGGGGGAAACAGAGTGAGCCGGGGGGAAGAGAGTGAGCAGGGGGAAACAGAGTGAGCCGGGGGGAGGAGAATGAGCAGGGGAAACAGAGTGAGCCGGGGGGAACTGAATGAGCTGGGGGAAACAAGCAAAGGGGAAGAGAATGAGCAGGGGAGACAAAGTGAGCCAGGGGGAAGAGAATGAGCAGGGGGAAACAAGCAAAGGGGAAGAATGAGCAGGGGAAACAGAGTGAGCGGGGGGGAGGAGAATGAGCAGGGGGAAACAAGCAAAGGGGTAGAGAATGAGCAGGGGGAAACAAGCCAAGGGGAAGGAGAATGAGCAGGGGGAATCAGAGTGAGCCGGGGGGAAGAGAGTGAGCAGGGGGAAACAGAGTGAGCCGGGGGGGGGAGAATGAGCAGGGGGAAACAGAGTGAGCCGGGGGGAAGTGAATGAGCAGGGGGAAACAAGCAAAGAGGAAGGAGAATGAGCAGGGGGAATCAGAGTGAGCCGGGGGGAAGAGAGTGAGCAGGGGGAAACAGAGTGAGCCAGGGGGAGGAGAATGAGCAGGGGAAACAAGCAAAGGGGAAGAGAATGAGCAGGGGAGACAAAGTGAGCTGGGGGGAAGAGAATGAGCAGGGGGAAACAAGCAAAGGGGAAGAATGAGCAGGGGAAACAGAGTGAGCGGGGGGAAGGAGAATGAGCAGGGGGAAACAAGCAAAGGGGTCGAGAATGAGCAGGGGAAACAAGCAAAGGGGAAGATGGCGATGGGAGCGAGGAAGGCGACGGAAGGGGGAAGCGAGGGCGATGGGAGGGGGAAGTGAGGGCGATGGGAGGGGGAAGCGAGGGCGATGGGCGGGGGAAGCGGGGGCGACGGGAGGGGGAAGCGAGGGCGACCGGAGGGGGAAGCGAGGGCGATGGGAGTTGGGAGCGAGGGCGATGGGAGGGGGAAGCGAGGGCGATGGGAGGGGGAAGCGAGGGCGATGGGAGGGGGAAGCGAGGGCGATGGGCAGGGGAAGCGGGGGCGACGGGAGGGGGAAGCGAGGGCGACGGGAGGGGGAAGCGAGGGCGACGGGAGGGGGAATCGAGGCGATGGGAGGGGGAGGCGAGGGCGATGGGAGGGGGAAGCGAGGGCGATGGGAGGGGGAAGCGAGGGCGATGGGCGGGGGAAGCGAGGGCGATGGGAGGGGGAAGCGAGGGCGATGGGAGGGGGAAGCGAGGGCGATGGGAGGGGGAAGCGAGGGCGATGGGAGGGGGAAGGAGGGCGATGGGAGGGGGAAGCGAGGGCGATGGGAGGGGGAAGCGAGGGCGATGGGCGGGGGAAGCGAGGGCGATGGGAGGGGGAAGCGAGGGCGATGGGAGGGGGAAGCGAGGGCGATGGGAGGGGGAAGCGAGGGCGATGGGAGGGGGAAGCGAGGGCGATGGGCGGGGGAAGCTACGGCGATGGGCGGCGATGGGCGGGGGAAGCGAGGGCGATGGGCGGGGGAAGCGAGGGTGATGGGAGTGGGAAGCGAGGGCGATGGATGGGGGAAGCTGTGGTGACGGATGGGGGAAGCTAGGGCGACGGAAGGGGGAAGCGAGGGCGACGGACGGTGGATGCGAGATCGACGGACGGGGGAAGCGAGGTCGACAACGCTCTAATTTCTCATCTCGTGCCGCCTTTTATCTCCGTGCTTCACACTCGCATTCGCGCCACATTCCCTCCCTCGGTCCTCGGATTCCTCTCGATTCCGCCATAAAAGTATATATTCTCACATGTTATACCTAGCTATTTTAGTCTGGATACTTAGTTTCCTAACAGTGATGTTCTAAGTATCCGGTACTTCGCACGCTTTTCTCAGCCTGCTCCAAGAGTGCGCTTGTGGACTTGGCGAAACTCTGGGTTGTGAGCTGCGTGAGTGTGGTTGGGTTTGGTTTTGTCGTTAGTGTTTGTTCAAGTTTCTTGAAGTTGAAGGTTGATTTGCGATACACTGTGGAGCACTCCGCCTTCGCCACCTGCCTCCGGCAAAATTTCTTCTCGTAAACCTTCGCGCAACCCTTTTCAAGTTCAGTATTTATGAACCCTTGCCATTCTAGACTCGGGCTTTAATGTGCTGATACGGTAATAGTTATTTGTAAAGTTTTTTCTTACCATCGGTTTCCCTGGTTTTCTTTTTGGTGGGCTGAGTTTTTTGTTTTTCAACTGTTGCGTGTTTGTAAGGTTTTTCTGCTGTACAAATAAATTATACCGTAGTATTTATCTTCTAGACGTAGCAAAGAACATCCCAACCAAACCAAGTGCTGCTGTGATGCTGTTTGCCTATGTACCCATGAAAGAGTGAAGCCCAAACTCAGAGAGCTGCACCCTACATGTCAATGTTGTCAGGTTGTGGTGCGGGGCCTTGTCAGTTCATTTTTATTGGATTGATTTCTCTTGCTGAACTGCACCAGGGGAGTATGGTAAAGCCAGGTACAGACGAAGATAGTATGCTTTGAATTCAACAAATGTATCTCACAAGACCATAAAGGTCAAAGCAAAAAAATATGACTACACCACATTCTCTCTTTTCATAAAATTCCAACATTTTTCAACATATCTCCAATCGAAGCAACTCCTAGCGAGATCAACTGGGAGTTAAATCCAGCCAGATTCGCTCTCCCCGATGAAGGCGGAAAATCGAGTGGGTCCCCTTCCATCTGCGCGTCCCGTGCTCTTCCGCATTTCCCTCGTTCCCTTCCGCTTTCCTTTCTGCCCTTCCGCCCCGCTCTTTCCTCCCCCATCCCACATGCCCGCAGCCAGACCCACCCCCCCTCCCATCCATCCATCACTCTTCAAACCCTCTGACGTCACGAATCCTCCATGCCCTAATCTCGCACCCAAGGCGCTTCGGCCAGCCAGCTATGCCGTTGTTGCCGTCTCGCACGTAGCGCTTTAGGAATCAAGATGCTTGCTGCCAATCCTCACCTGCTCGTAGGCTCATTTTTGGCGCGGATCTGGTAACCAGATCGCGGTTGCGATCCGCACGTTCAGTTCACCCTACCATGTCGTAAACTCGATCAGCAGCCATGCCTCCGGCTAAGAAGAAAGTTATAGCCGACGTGAAGGAGGGAGATCTCGTGCTCGCCAAAGTCAAGGGATTCCAGCCCTGGCCCGCTAAGGTCCCGCTCACTCGCTCACTCGCTCTCTCGCGTTCCTTCCTCGCTTCCCCGCTCGTCTATTCTTCGTCTTAGTACCTCCGAGCAGAACCTGCGCATCGTTTCTTTCGGATCTTAACTAGTTTGCGAATCGTAAGGTCGCTTCAATAGTCGGAGCACAATAGTGATTAATGCGTCTCCTCCGAAGGGACTTCACGTTTCAATCTCGCGCGCCTCTCTTGGTTCCAGATCGTTCGTTGCCCGTAGCATCTTACTGCGCAAGCTCCCCGTCCGTTTCGCTCGTTACGGTCAGATTCTGACGGCTGTCGACGAATCCGGCTGGCTGTCGACGCCGTAGAGTCGCGCGGCTTGGCATGAAGGAATGTCGTAACACCGAAAATGCTCGTGGGGGATCGTTAGGAGCGTATCCGTTGCAACCTGACGCTTGACCGGTGGATTCCGGTCGGGCCGTCAGTTTCGGCCAATCAGCGCCTCTCCCCACCCTCTGCTTCTCTCATATGTCGTACTCACTCTCGAATCCTCCACCCTACGTCACGCTCCCTCTCACCTGTCCCACAGGTCATAAGCGCAGAGGAAGCACAGAAAGCTGATGTGAAATTGAAATATAAGCCAAACAAGGTCTATGTAACCTTCTTCCCATCCGGGCAATTGTGAGTCCCTCCACATCCTTTCAGCTCGTTCTGGGAACTCGTATGTCGCTCGTAGGACGGCATGTGGGATGGGATGCACGTATGATCAAAACTTTGCTGAATTCTCCATTTGCCAGTTGAGCCACTCGTCCTTTTCCCTCCTGAATGGCAAGACCAATCACCCCAGAGCCTCGTATCTAACCATCCCCCCCCCTCCGCCTCCTCCTCTCCCTTCTACCCCCACCCTCCACTCCCCTCTCCCCTCCTCGCCCTATGTTTCCGACCCCACCCGCGCAGCCGCGCGTGCAATCCCGCGGATGTCACCCCCTTTTCCCCGGAACTGCGCGAGCAGCTGACTGCGCCGACCGCCAGACGAGTATCGGCGGACTTCTCGACGGGGCTGGCAATGATGTGCGAGATACAGGATAGGCGGAAGGAAGGCCAGGCGGAGGGGGAGCAGGGGGGCGCGGCGGGGCCGGCACAGGCGGTGGGGGAGAGGTCGGGGGGCGCAGACGACGTTGTAGCTGCTGCACAGGTGGGTCAAGAAGGGCTTTAAGCGTGTTAGGATTCCAGCGGGTTGTTTTTCTTGTGATTTTATCTCCACCTATCTGCTTGCAACCATAGTCCTCCCCTCCTTCCCACCCGCCCTTCTGCTCCCCCCCACCCCTCTCCCGTGCTTTTCCTTTGTGCTGCAGCAGCCAGACCAGGCCGCTGCTGCAAGCGCAGACTCTGCTGACCCTAGAGCGCAGCCCGAGCATGCAGGGGACGCAGCTGCCGCCGCTGCAGGTGCGCCGGGATTAGCCCAGGCTGGTCCAGGCAGGGAGGCAAGCCAAGATATGGGGCAGGGGGAGGGGGAGGGCGAGGATGCGGTTGGTGCACTGGGGACCTCCCCAGTAGCTACCCGCCCCTTGGAAAACGGCGAAGGGGGAAGATTTCCGACAGAGGCGCTGCTGGGAAACGGGGAGCGAGAGGGGCGGAGTGGGGAGGGAGCGGAGGATGACGAGGGGTTGGGGATGCGAGGAGTAGACGCTGGGGGGGGCATTGTGAAGGATTTTCACGTTGTGGGGCCGGATATTCTTAACTCCGCGTGGCGGAAACGGAAACGGCTGGAAGAGCTGGGGGATGTTGGCGCAGCGGAGAAGAGGAGAGATGGGGCGGGAGATGGGGGGGCGGGGCTTGAGGCGGGCGGGGAGGAAGCGGGGGAGAGTGGGGACGGGCGTGAGGGCCTGGCGGCGAGTGTTATAGAAGCTGTTTTGAACGGTGGTAGGAGAGTGGGGGTTGGAGGGAAGGATGGGGAAGATGGGGAGGGGGTTGTTGAGGATGGTGGTGCAGCGGTGGGCGAGGAAAAGAAGAGTGGAGGAGGAGGAGGAGTGGGAGAGAGAGAGGTTGCAATGGTGGGGGAAGGGCATAAGAAGGCGGAGGCTTTGCCAGAAGTTGGTGTGAAGGCGGATGGGGAATTGGGCGAGCAGAAGGAGGAGGGAAAGTGTGAAGGCGCGGTGAAGGAGGAGGGTGGAGAAGGGATTGTGGGCGTCAAGGAGGTGGCATTTGCTGCTGAAAGTGCGAGTAAGAGAGTTCCGGTGGGAGTGGAGGAGAAGGCAGGTCGGGCTGTGGCGGAAAGCAGCCAGACGGAGATTGCTGCAGGGACGATGGAAAGGCTATCTGTGGCAGTGGCGACGGTCCAAGTGGACGTGTCTACAGACGGAAGCAGAGGAGATGCGCGTACTGGTGGGGAGCTGGTACAGGTTGTGGTTCAGGAGACTGTAGAGAGTCACGTGGCGGTTGAATTGAAGGCGGTGGAGGGGGGAAAAGCGGAGGAGATGAGTGGGAGGGATGCGGGTGAGAAGGAGGAGGCGAGGGGCAGGGATGGGAGGGCGAGGCTGGAGCAGCGGCCTGCGATTGAGATACTGGGAGCGGTGAGAGTGCAGGGCGCGGGCGGGTGGGTGAAAGCCCCTGCAGCTGCCTCCGCTGCTGGTGCTGCTGTGGCGCCGGTTGCTGCTGCTGCTGGTGTTGCTAGCGCTGGTGCTGGCGGTGCTGCTGGTGCTGGTGCTGATGGTGCTGCGTTTTCCCGTGAGTCTGGTCAAGGGGAGGAGAGGCAGACGCGGTTGAGTGTAGGGAAGGCAAAAGAGCTGGAGAGGGAAGGGAGGGGAGAGGGAGGGAAGAGTGGCGTGCAGGCATTGTTGCAGGGGGGGCAGAAGGGAGGGGCGGGAGAGAGGAGAGCACTGAAAGGGCTTGAGGTGCTGCAGAAGGCACAAGGCTCGCAGGCCAGAGAGGGGGAGAGGAGTTTTGAGGCGCCTCTAAACCAGGCCAGAGAGGCGGAGAGGGCGGTGGGTGGTTCTGGGCGAGAGGTTGGGAGGGAGAGGGAGGGCAAGGGAGAAGAGAAAGGCAGTGGGGTGGAGAAGGAGAGTGAGGAGAAAGTGGGGGTGGAGGGGGCGAGGGAGAAAGGTTTGAGGGGACAAGGGGAGAAGGAACAAGGGGTGAGGGAGCATGGGGTGAGGGAACAAGGGGGAAGAGAACAAGGGGTGAGGGAACAAGGGGCGAGGGAACAAGGGTCGAGAGAAGGCAGGAGAGGGGTGGACAAGTTGAGGGAAGGCGAAAAGAGACCTCTGCCAAGGGAGAAAGAGCTGAAAGACGCGAGAATGGAACGGGGGAGGAAGGATCTGGAGAAAGAGGGGGTGGTGATGAGGCGACCGGGGCAGGGGCAAGGCAGGGGCAAGGCAGAAGCGAGGGGGGACGTGGGAGGGCGGCAGGTGGGTGGTCCTGGAGGGCAAGCAGGGAAGAGTCCCGTGGGTGAATCGCTCGTGGGCATGAAGAGGAAGGCACGGTGGGATGGTGCTGGGACAGAGGTTGCTGAGGAGGGCAGAAAGCACGGTGGGAAAGGGCTGATTAAGGGGACTGGTGGGACGGTGGCAGCAGGAGCAGCAGGAGGAGGAGGAGGGGGAGGAACAGCCGGAGCAGGGGACGGTTCCAGGGCAGCAGGAGGTGGTGCGAGTGGTGGTGCAGCAGGCGCAGGTGCAGGTGCCCAACGGCCCAGTCCCAGGGCGTGGAGAGGGCGAGACTCAGAGGAGATCTGGAAGGAGCTTGGGCAGATGAACTTGCTGGGCGAGGGGGATGGGGAAGAGGGAGCAGGCAGAGCGGTGCAAGTGGGGATGAGTGTGGTGGCAGGAGGGGAATCTGGGGGCGAGTATGTTAAGGTTGAGTTAAGTGTGTGTGAGGGGGCGGTGCTTGGTGCAGGGGCCGTGAGGCGGGAGTTTGTGGGGGATTTGAGGGTGTATAAGAGGAGAAAGGTGAGTGGGAAGGGTTACAGTGCGGTGCAAGAGCAGCAAGGGGGGCAGGTGGTGGGAAGAGCGTTTCCGTATTGGACTCGGCGTTATCAGCAGATGCTGCTAGAGAGAGGCACGCTGCAACTTCTGCCGGCTAGTCAGAAAGCCCTGCGCAGGGAGCAGGAAGAGCAGCAGCAGGAGCAGCAGAGGAGGAACCAGAGGCGCGTGCAGAAGCAGCAGCAGCAGGTGAGGGAGCAGGTGGAGAGGAAGGGGAGAGTGGCAGCACAGCAACAGGCAGCGGGAGCTGCTACTGCTGCTGCTACTGCTGCTGCTGCTGCTGCTGCTGCGGCTGGCCCGTCATCCTCTCTCACGGATCTTCTGCAGCAGCTACAACACACGTTAGAAGCTGAGAGGGGCCAGATGGACGAGCAGACGCGAGAAGCCGCCATGCGTGCTGCTGCTGCTGCCGCTGCGGCCGCTGCCGCTGCGGCCGCTGCCGCTGCCGGCGCTGGTGGCGGCGGGATTGCATCTGCTGCTGCGTCGGCTCTAGCTGGCTCCTCTGGTTCGGGTACTGCAGGGGGGTCGATGAATCTTGTGTCTCCCAGGGGGATGAAAGCGACAGCAGGGGGGAAAGGTGCATGGGGAAAGGCGCCTGGGGAGATGGGTGGGAGTGGGGAGCAAGGAGCAGGGGTGAATGGGCCTGGGAAGAAACGAGGAAAGGATGGGGCAGAGGGGAGGGGTGATGTGGTGGTGAGGTCTAGGTTGCTGCGAGGGGGGTCGGACGGTGGGGGTGGGGAGGCGGATGAAGGGGAGAGTGTGAGAGGGAAGGGGGTGAGTGGAGGGAAGAAAGGGGTGGGACAGGAGGGACGGGTGCAAGGGCTTGGTGGGTTCAAGAGTAGCAGTTTGCGGAGGGGGGTGGGAGACGAGGGGGATGGGGGAGAAGCGGGTAAGGGAGTGAGAAAGAAGATGGTTGGGAAGGGTTATGATGGTTTGAAGGATGGGAGGGAGACAGGGAGTGGGGCAGGTGAGGGGGAAGGGGGAATCAGCACCCGGACTAGAAGAAAGGGGCACGTGGGTGGTGATAGGGGCAGACAACTGGCTGTGGAGGGACGTGGGAAAGAGCAGGGTGAGGACGAGAGCAAGGAGGGAGAGGGAGAGGATGATGAGAAGGAAGGGGAAGACGAGGACGGGGAGGAGGAGGATGAGGATGAGGAGGATGAAGAGGAGGAGGAGGAGGAGGAGGAGGGGGATGCGTCGTCTGAAGACTCAGCTGGGTCGGAGGTTCTGGAGGTGGGGGAGGAGGATCAGCAAGTGGAGGTAGTGGGGGGCAGGAGCAAGGTGGAGAGGCGAGGAGTGGCCCCTGGTGGTGTGAGAGACGGGGTGAGGGAGCGGGCAGGGCAGAGGGTGCATGGGCAGGGGGGCAGAGGGCCAGGGCCATTGCACGCGGCAGGGAGGAGAGGAGTGGGGCCGTCAACAGCAGCAGAGGCCCAGGGTCGGTTGTTGGAGTGCAACGGGCTTAGGGAAGGAGACAGGTGTGTTCTCGCCAATTACTGTTACCGTTTCCCACTGCTTGTTACCACTTGCCACTGCTTGCTACCGTTTTCCACTAGTCACCGTTTGCGCGCAAGTTGTTACCTTTTGCACTTGCGCTGGTAGCAGACGTTGTGGCGCTTGCGTTCTGTGTTTCCTGTGGTTTCCTTGTCAGGCCGAAGCTGCAGGCGCCTTACGAGGGACCCGTCCCCGCTCGGCCTTTCAGAGCAAGCTTCCCTAAGCCAACCGGCCCTACTGCTACCACTACTGCTCCTAAACCCTCCGCTGCTTCTGCCCCTACCTCTGGGCTTGGTTCAGCGCCTGTGCCTGGTACTGCTGCTGCGCTGCTCGCCTCCTCCCAGCCAAGCATGCGAGATCTTCTCAAAACCGCCGCCAATGCAAAGAAGGCGCTTCTGACCTCCGCCTCTGCCCCCTCTCTACTGCCGCCTCCCATCTTCCCTCCACCCATCTTTCCCCCTGGCGTTCCCCCCCCTCCGCCTGGTTTCGCCCCCCCACCAACCTCGTTCGCGGCGCCGCCGCTCCCTTTCCCGGCGTCTCCTTCCACTGTGTCTCCTACCGCCGCCGCCGCTGCAGGTGCCTCTGCATCTCTTTTCCCTGCCATGCCTGCTGATGGCCCTGATAATGCAACGGGGGAGCCTGCTGGGGGTTTCCCCCCTGGGTTCAGTATGGGCGTGGGTTCCCCCAGGCGAGTGGGCGATGCAGGACCGGCAGGGGACGGTTTGGGTGGGAGCGGTGGTGCTGCAGGGGTTGCTGGGGATGAGAAAGAGGGAGACGAGGCAGGAGGTGCGGGTGGGGAGGTGAGGGCAGTGGAAGGGCGAGGGGGTGCGGGTGCTGGGATGGGCGAGGGGCAGGAGGGTGGGAGTGGGCAGGGGGATGGGGAGGATGGAGCGGAGGGGTGGAAGGGCAGGGGGAGTGCTGCAGGTGCAGGGGCCGTCGGTGATGCAAGGGATGGTGTGGCATGGGCGGGAGGGGCAGAAGATACGGATGGGAAAGGGGAAGAGCCGGGGAGCAGTGGAAGAAGAGGAGGGGCGGGAGGGGGAGGAGGAGGGGGTGCGGGAGGGAGTGGTGTGGGTGGTGGTAGTGCGGGTGTGGGTGCGGGGAGTGAGCTTGAGTCCGCAGTGATGAGGGATACGTTTGGGGGGATGCTAGAAACGCTGTCTCGCACCAAGGAGAGCATTGGTCGCATGACTCGGCACGCTTTGGCATGCGCCTGCCTTGGGATTGCAGACCAGGTGCGACTCTGTCTGCCTTGCTGCTGTTGTGAACCCTTTTATTCGTACCCCTCTGCAGCTCATTCATCGTTCCTCCACTCCACCTTCTCTCCTCCCGCCCCACCCTCCTTCCGCCCCAGTCTTTCCCTTCCTTCAAGTATGTGCATGGCTGTGGAACACATAGTGTAATTATCCCCCTGAATTTAGGCCCATGCATGCTCGTGATTCGCCAGTGTCAATCCCGGGCATGAATGCCCATGCATCCGGCCTTATATTTGTGCCTCGGGCTTATTGAACTGGTCCATGCATGTGCGGGTGTGCGTGTATGTGCACATGCGCGAATGTCTGTGTGTTACCGTTTTGCATGCACATGCGGGCACGAGTGCATCCCCGTGTATGCATGTGCATGCGCATGTGCGTGCATGTGCGTGTGCGTGTGCATGCGCATGTGTGTGCATGTGCGTGCATGTGTGTGCTTGTGCGTGCATGAGTGTGCATGTGTGTGCATGTGTGTGCATGTGTGCATGTGTGTGCATGTGCGTGCATGTGTGCATGTGCGTGCATGTGTGTGCATGTGTGTGCATGTGTGCATGTGTGTGCATGTGCGTGCATGTGTGCATGTGCGTGCATGTGTGCATGTGCGTGCATGTGTGCATGCGTGTGCATGTGCGTGCATGTGCCTGCATGCGTGTTCATGTGCGTGCATGTGCCTGCATGTGTGTTCATGTGCGTGCATGTGTGTGCATGTGTGCATGCATGGGTGCGAGCAGGTGATGGAGATGGTGGTGTCACGGCTGGAGAACGAGATGAGCATGCACCGCAAGGTCGACCTCTTCTTTCTCGTCGACTCCATCACCCAGAGCTCGCACCTCAAAGGCAAGTCCGCCCCGCACCTCTTTAGTCTCTGCAAAGCCGCGTGCACAGGTCAGTGCAAAAGCACATGGAAAGGCAAGGGTATGTCGTCATCGAACATACACGAGCAGCGCGTGCATCTGATTTCCCACATTTCAAATGCAACGCACAGCCTGTTTCAGCATTCACGTTCCTCCTTCCTCCCTCGTTCTCGAGCCCTAGATTTCGCTTCTCTCCCAGCTTCACCAAGCTTCCAGTCCAGCCTCTCTCACCTTCTCCTCTTATGCTTCCTTCCCTCCCACCTGTACAATACTGGTAACCCTGTAACTGCACGGGCACCAGGTGGGCCACCAGCAGTGTATCCGGAATTGGTGAAGGACGCCTTGCTACGCATTGTCACAGCTGCTGCCCCTGCCGGCCCTGCTGCTCACGAGAACCGCCGCCAATGCATCAAGGTGCGTTGCTGCGTGCGTCATCCATTTACTGAATCATTGTCGGGGTGATGGATGCTGGTTGGCGGGCTGGTCTGGTGTTAGAGGAATCGTGCTGATGATCTGTTGTTGATGATAAGTTGCTGGTGGATGAGGATGATTGGTGATGATTCGGGGAAGGTGATTGTGCTGTATGGTAGGTAGGTAGGCGTTGTGGATGGAAGCATGATTGTGGTAGGCATCGTTCCTCGAGCCAAACGAAAGAACGAAGCGCTCGTGGCTGATCTTATCTTATCTTCCCTCTCTCCTGCTCTGCCTCATCTACCCCCCCGTTCCTGCTCCTCCCCTTCTCGCTCCACCCATACCTCCTCCTTCGCCTGCAGGTTCTGCGGTTGTGGAAGCACAGGCAGGTGCTGGCCGAGGAGGTACTAGCGCACTACATAGACCAGATTGAGGCTCGCAACCGCGACCACCAGCTCTCAGCCCTGCCTGTCCCACCCTCCCACCTATACTTACCCCCTTCGCCTGCAGGTCCTGCGTCTGTGGAAGCACAGGCAGGTGCTGGCAGAAGAGGTACTAGCGCACTACATAGACCAGATTGAGGCTCGCAACCGCGACCACCAGCTCTCAGCCCTGCCTGTCCCACCCTCCCACCTATACTTCCCCCCTTCGCCTGCAGGTCCTGCGTCTGTGGAAGCACAGGCAGGTGCTGGCAGAAGAGGTACTAGCGCACTACATAGACCAGATTGAGGCTCGCAACCGCGACCACCAGCTTTCAGCCCTGCCTGTCCCACCCTCCCACCTATACTTCCCCCCTTCGCCTGCAGGTCCTGCGTCTGTGGAAGCACAGGCAGGTGCTGGCAGAAGAGGTACTAGCGCACTACATAGACCAGATTGAGGCTCGCAACCGCGACCACCAGCTCTCAGCCCTGCCTGTCCCACCCTCCCACCTATACTTCCCCCCTTCGCCTGCAGGTCCTGCGTCTGTGGAAGCACAGGCAGGTGCTGGCAGAAGAGGTGCTAGCACACTACATAGACCAGATTGAGGCGCGCAACCGCGACCACCAGCTTTCAAGCCTGCCTGTCCCGCCCTCCTCCCACCTGCAAGCCCAAGCTGCAACAAGAGGCGGAGCAGGGGAGAGGGAGCAGGAGGAGCAGGAGGCGCGCCCCCCGGGGAATTATGACCCGCAGCTGCAGCAGCACGGGCAGGAACAAGGGCAGGGGCAGGAGGGTGGGAGGAATCGAGGGGTGGAGTTCAAAGTTCCCGCGTACGGGCAGGGGGGGGAGCAGCGAGGCGAAGGAGGGGCGCATGGGCAGGAGCAAGGGGCAGGGGCGCAGCAGTCGCACCACCACGGGAATTTCGCCCATCCACACAAGAGTTATCACAAGGGGGAGGGGGGGGCAGGGGGAGGGGGACAGGGAGTGGGAGCACACATGCTGGTGCCGATGATAAACTCGGATCGGCAGCTGAGGCGACCGTCGCGGTCTGAGAGAGCGCTGGATGATCCGTTGAGGGAGATGGATGGGCTTGTCATGAACGAATATGGCAGGTGTGTCTGGGGTGATGGTGGAATGGGTGGTGGAATGGGTGGTGGGATGGGCGGTGGGATGGGTGTGGTGTGGGATTGGTGTGGTATGGCTGTGGTGTGGATGGTGGATGGGTGTGCATTGTGTACTGTGCACGCTGTCCTGTGCTGTGTGGTTGAGTCGTGGCTGAGAAGGGAGGTGGGGTCTGTGGTTGGGAGACTCTGTACGTGCTGTGCCCGTTGCCTTGTTTCCTTGTTTCACCTGCCGTTTATTTTCCGCGTTGCATTCACTCATCGGCTTGTGATGCGCATCTCTCCCACCGTCCCATGAGCGCAGCAACGCCACATTCGCCCTGGCTCGCCTTCTCACCGCAAAACTCGGGGACGCCGAGGCTCAAGCAGCCGCGCCTAGTGCTGCCGCGGTGGCAGCAGCAGCGGTTGCAGCAGCGTCGACCACAGGTGCAGCTGCAAGCACTTCAGGGTCGGATCCGCTCCGCTCTGACTTCCCTCTCCCTCGCTCCCGCTCCGCCCATTACGATATGCAAAGGAGCCCTCTCGGCTTGCAAGGCGCTGCCGCTCCCTCCGCTTTCACTGCTGCTTCTGCTGCTGCTGCTGCTGCATCTGGGCCTGGGATATTCCCCTTGCAAGTGTCCGCCTCTGCTGTGCAACTGTACTCGTCAGAAGCTGCTTTGCTACAGAGTAAGGAGGTTGCTGGAGGAGCCGGGGCGGGGCTGGGACAGGCGGGGGGCTGTGAAGGAGCGGAGAGGGCACAGGGTGAAGTGGGCAAGGGAGGTGAATCAGAATCGCTGCTTTCTGCTACTGCTGCTGCTGCTGGTGCTGGCATCATCCCCCCCGGTTTCCTTACAAGGGCTGTCCCTGGGGAGCAACAGGGGTCCGCGTTTACTGGTGCAGCAGCAGCGGTGGCAGCAGCAGTCGCCTCTGCAGCCTCTGCTGCAGCCAGCGCGGTGGCTGCTGCTGCTGCTGCCGCCTCGGGAGTGCCGCGGCCTGGCGTTGTCCTGATGGATAGCGGTGCTGGGGGCAGTGGGGCACGGGGCAGCGGCCGTGTATTCTCCCAGTATCCACCTTCCCACGGTAAGTTCACAGGAGCTGGTGGTGTTGTGGAGGCGTCTGTTGCTGGCAAGTCAGAGCAGGGATTTGTGGGGCGTGCACTCCCTGCTGCTGGATTGGCAGAGGCAGCTGCGCCAGCAGCAGCTGGAGCAGGAGCAGCTGTGGCAGCTGTAGCAGCTGTAGCAGCAGGAGCGGGAGTAACAGGGCCAGCAGGGGTGGGTTTGCCAGTGCCAGTAGCATCATCAGGGCAGATGTTAGCCCATCCGTCAGCAGCCGCGGACAGGACTGCCTCTGGAGGGGCAGCAGCAGCAGCAGCAGCAGGGGATGCTACAGGTCACGGGACACTGTCTGCAGTACCTCCAGGTGCAGCAGCAGCGCTAACAGCAGCGCCGCCACCGCCCCCCACTGCGCCGCCCCCTCCTATGCCCCCCCCACCTCCGCCTCCGTCCTCCCCACCGCCCTCGCCGCCCCCGCTCCCATCCTCCCCTCCCCCTTCCCCCCCTCCGCTCCCTCCTGGATCCCCTACAGACATGGATATGGAAATGAGTCCAGGGGGGGCGCAACCCCCTCCTTCCGCCTCTCCTCCCCCTCTGCCTCACCTCTCCGCCCCCCCTGCTCCATCTGCTCCTCCTCCTCCGCCTGCGCCTCCTGCTGCTAGCGCTGCTCCTCCTGCAAGCCACCCAAGCAAGCCCCCGGGGCCACTCACAATGCCCCCTCCTCTCCAGCCGCCTCAGGCCCCGCTTCCCCTGGCGCCTCTGCCTTTCCCCCATATGAACCCGCCCCAGTTCCCGCCCCCCTTTGCCCATGGCATGCAGGGGGGTCCTTCCGCCCCCCAGCAGCAATCCAGGGGAAATGGAAACTGGTTCCCCTGCCACTTCCCCCCACCTGCGCACGTGCAGCAAGGGCCGATGGGTGGAGGGGGAAGAGGCTTGGGCGAGGGAGCGGAAGGTGTACGTGGGTTGCAAGGGTTTGCGGCAGGGATGGGCGTGGGGATGGGGATGGGCACAAGCGTAGGGGCTGGCGCTGCTGGTGTAGGGGCAGGGCAGCAGCAGCAGCAGCAACAGCAACAGCAACAGCAACAGCAACAGCAGCAACAGCAGCAGGAGCAACAGCGACAGCAGCAGCAGCAACAGCAACAGCAGCAGCAGCAGCAGCAACAACAACTGCAACAACAGCAGCAGCAACAACAGCAGCAGCAGCAGCAGAAGCAACAACTGCAACAACAGCAGCAGCAACAACAACAGCAGCCACCGCCACCATGGAAAATGCCACTACCACAGCCACACCAGCAGCAGCAGCAGCAGGATATGCGGATGGGGAAATCTGGGCAGGAGGGCAAGGAGGCAGAGAGGCCTGTAGGAACAGGCAGAGGCGGGGAGGGGGAGCAGCAGTGGCAGGCACGGCACGCAGACAGCACCGACAGGACAAGGGACGGCGAGAGAGTTGAAGGAGCGAGGGGTCAAGGGATAGGCAGGGCGGAGGCGAGGGAGGAAGTGCACGGAAGTGGGGAAAGAGGGAAAGGCGGTATGGGGATTTGTGGGAGGGAGAGTGGGGAAGGGAGGGGGTCTGTGAGGGTAGCAGCAGATCCGGTGCATGGCAGTGCCGCCGAAAGCACTGCCCAGAAAGCACTGCCGCCTCTCCTGGCCACCCCTGCTCTGAACCCCCTGCCTCCATCGGCGACTGGGGCGGCTGCTTCTGCTGCTTCTGCTGCGACTGGCGGCGCTGCTGCTGGTGCAGCAGTGGCTTCACAGAGGCAAGCAGTGGCGCCTGTAGCTTCTGAGGAATCGCCTGTGATCACTCCGCTCACAGCAGTTTCCCAGAAGGAGCAACAGGAGCAGCAGGAGCAGCAGCAGCAGCAGGAGCGTGGGGAGGTGGCAGGGCGACTGGCAGGGCTGCAGGTGGGTGAGGGAGCCCCGCATGCTCCGTGGGTGGAGCGACGAGCATTGCGCGCACGAGAGGAGACGGGCGCAGCAGCAACAGCAACAACAGCAGCAGCAGCGGCGGCGGCACCAGGGGCAGCAGAGGAGGAGGGGCAGGAGAGGGGCGTGGGCAGTCAGGATGGGTTGCACACTCCCAGGAGAGTGCGCTCGTTCACCCAGGCGCCAGGAGCACTTGCTGCAGGTGACTGCCGGACCGGACACCCTTCGTCTCTAGCAGCCTATCGCTGTGCTGTTTTGGATTTCACGTTTCTGTATTCCCTGCTTGCATCTCTGCATGGTAGTAGCTGCTGTGTTTCGCCTTTTGCAAACACAAACCCTCTTTCTAAAGCCTTCTCCTGCCTTTATGCCCGACCCATGCCCTGCTGTGCCCTCCAATGCATTCGTCACACTCTCCTTATCCATTCCCCCTTCCCCTCCCTCCCATTCCTCTCTTCTCCCTCCTCACTCCCTCTCTTCCCGCATCTCTCTCCCAGCCTCCCCGAGGAGTCTCAACGCCCCACCACACCTATCCACCTCACCAACCACACCCTACACCCCATCCGCTCCACCTCAGCTCTTCTCTCTCTCCCCCTTCACGCCTCTGCAAGCTGGGAAACCGTACAGCACCCAGGGCCCCCCTCCGTCCTTTACTACTCCGATTTCTGCTGCCACAGCTGGATCAGCAGCAGGGGCAGGAATGTCTGCTGCAGCAGCGGTAGCAGGAGCAGCTAGCGTTCCTGCTGGGGCTGCTGCTGCTGCTGCGACTGGCGCTGCTCGCATGGGTGATGCGTTGGTTTCTAGAGCTGGGCCTGCTGCAACAGCAGCAGCAGCAGCTGTGGGGGAGAGCGGCAGAGGGAGTAGCATGCAGAGGGGCGTGCAAGGGCAGAGCACGGAGAAGAGGGAGGAAAGCCTTAGCCAGGGGTCACAGGGACAGGCGGAGGACAGGGTGGGTGCGAGTGGGGAGGAGATGCAGCGTGGAGGGTCTCCAACCCGCAAGTCTGGCCTCATGGGCCCCCCTCCTGCTGCTCCCCCTGCTCCTGCCAGCGCTCCAACCACCCCTGCGGCATCAAGAACCCCAACTGGAACAACCCCTGTAAACACACCGCTATCCGCCGCTGCAGCAGCAGCAGCGGGTGGAGGTGCAGGGGTGAAGCGTTCTCCTGTCCAGCAAGGCTCGAGCCACAGCCAGGGTCAGCCGGTGTCGCCGCTCCCTCCTCCCGCCCGGCCCCCTCAAGCGTCTCCCATGACCGCTCCTCCCCCACGCCGCACGTTCCGAAGCTCGTCCGGCTCTACTGGTGATGCGCCTGGTCATCACCGGTCCCTCTCCCCTTCCTTCCGCCCGTCTCTGTCTCGATCCTCATCCGGCCACTCCTCTCCTCCTTCTGGCATGCCCCATTCTCCTCCCCACTTGCGCCGGTCGCCCAGCCACCCGCACATGCATGCGCACTCGAACCAGCGGGCGGCACATGGGCATGCTCACGCGCACGCACACTCGTTCGGGCTGGGACCCGCAGCAGCAGGGCACGGGGCAGGCATGGGTGGGGGGCCAGGAGAAGGGAGCATGCACACTGAGTGGAGAGGGGGGGGACCGGAGAGAGGAGGAGGTATGGAGCGCGGGGGGGGGCTAGAGAGAGGCATGCCGCATGGGTTTCCCAACTCGCCTCCTCGCGGGAATGTGCACTTTAGCTGGCGGGTTCAGCCGTTGGCCGATGGTCCTCGCTCACATGCACATGCGCAGGCACATGGGTTTGCGCACCCGCATGCGCATGGGCATGGGCCTGGGCCAGGATACGGGGATCGGCCTCCTTCCCCTTCACGTTGTAAGCTGCTCTTCTCCCAACTCGCTCTTTGTCCGATTCGCTCGATTGCTCTCCCTCGCCATCTGTTCTCCCCCGTTCTCTCTTCCCTTGTTCTTTTCCTCTCCCCCTGTCGCAATCTCCTGCTAGCCTGGTTGATGCAGCGTCTCTGAGTCCGCCCTACTCTCATTCCCGCATTCCTCTCCATCCCATCCCATCCCATCCCTCCTCCAGCCCCCCACCGGCGGCCTCCCCATCTGCACCGGGGACCAGACAACCCCATCTCCTTCGCTGCTCCCCGCCACCACCCGCCGCCTCCCATGCACCCCCACCACCTGCCCTCGCAACCACCGCACCAGCAACAGCAGCAGCAGCAGCAGCAGCAGCAGCAGCAGCAGCAGCAGCAGCAGCAGCAGCAGCAGCAGCAGCAGCAGCAGCAGCAGCAGCAGCAGCAGCAGCAGCAGCAGCAGCAGCAGCAGCAGCAGCAGCAGCAGCAGCAGCAGCAGCAGCAGCAGCAGCAGCAGCAGCAGCAGCAGCAGCAGCAGCAGCAGCAGCGAGGGCAGCCCCCTTGGAACCCGTACATGGGCATGGGTCCCCCACCCCCTCCCCAGCACCACCACCAGATGCAGCCGCCCATGCCGCCTTCCCCCCCGGACTCTCCAGGCCATCAGTTCCGCTGTGCGCCTGGTGCTATGGGCGGTGGTGGTGGGGGGGGTCCTGGTGGTCCTGGTGGTCCGGGTGCGGGTGCTGGTGCTCCCCCTGGCGGCATGGGCCAACGCCCCTCCTTCCGCCGCCCTGTTAGCTTCCGGCACCTGCCACCGCCGCAGCAGCAGCAGCAGCCGCCGCCGCCGGCGCAGCAACAGCAGCAGCAGCCGCCGCCTCATTTCAACAGGTGGAGAACACACGGTCCCCCTTAGCTTGTGATCTTGCCCCCAGCCCCCTTGCATGGTACTGCTGTCCTTCCCACTCCTGCATCTCTCTTTACCTCTGTCTGTCGCTCTCGCTGCTCCCCTTTCGTTCTACCTCACTTTCCCCCTTTCCCCCCTCCGCACGTTTGGTACGCCCTCTCTTGCGTCCCACCTCTCAATTCCTTTCACGCACCTTTTCCCTTTGAACGTCTTTCCAGCCCTCACTCTTCTCTCTGAAAAGCATGACTTGTGACGTGTCTAGACGTGCCTATTGACAGGCACGTAGGTTGGATTTGCCAAGTCATGGTAGGAGTGGTGTGAGTGTGAATGCTGGGAGAATGGGAAGGAGAATGTGTGCACATTATGGTATCGTAGAACAACAAAACGGAACTTGTGTGTACAAGACATGAGCAACAGTTTTTGCCCAGGTTTGGTTCAAACGGGTAGAATATAGTGCAAGCTGAATGGGACAAACAAGCTCTTAGAACCTAACATTTACTTGAACTTCTCTTGGGATGCGAAGCAAACAGTATCGCTAGAAGCACATTGCAGCAGTCAGCAGCACACACCATAGCACCGGTAGGAGGGAGGATAGGTATAATGTAAGAGTAGGGAATGATAGTGAGGCCATGCTGTGCCTACCCTCCTGCCGGGCCTCCCTTTTACCACTCTCACACACAGTAATCTTAGGCACCTGGTTGGTGGTTGGTTATGGAATGGACTGAACAGAGGGTGGCTGGTAGAGGCATGTTTTCGAGCTAGCATGGGGTTAGCTCACATTCGCTTAAGGCTGGTTGTCTTCCTGTGGCTGGCTGCTTGCTAATCTTGTCGAGCATGATCTTCATTTATAGTATTCATTTGGGACTTGTTGCCCTGGGGCTGCAAGCGTACCGAAGTTTCAGAGATAGTGGGATATTTGTTGTTGGGTGACAGACATTTCCATATGTTTGATACTTCGATTTACTGTACCGTATTCAGCAATTACTTTTCCCAATTGGTGACTGGTGGGTAGAGGTATAGATGACAGCAGCTTTGCTACGCAGTGTTTGCAAGTCAACAACTTATCGGACCCTGCTCAATTAGACACATACCGTACCATACTACCGTACTCGGCATTATTTCAATGCTTGTGAAAATCCAAAGAGTTGTTTTGATATATATTTTTAGTGACATAGATACATCCTCTGCCTCAGCCCTGAGCTTCCTTCTCATGCCATAACCTTTCATGATGCCGAGACAAAATCCAGACTTCCTGCTGCCAAGTGCTCCTTGCAACCCTCCACCACAACACAGGATATGCAGTCCCCACAATAATATCCAGTTCCATCCCCCCTGACCTGCACCGGCTCCTACTCACCCCTCCACCAGACTCATCATGTACATCCATCTGAAGCAGCAGCACTACACCCACTCAACTGATTCTCAACCTGCTACCTCCACAACCTCAGCACCAGCCGAGCCCAAGCCACTGCGCCTCGCACTCCTGCTGCTGTGGCGCTACCTCAAGGAGCTGGCAGGGGGCATCCAGAAGGGGCGGATGGAGCGCGCGAGGGAGTAGGGGTCCGCCTCCCACTGCTGCACCGAGTCTCCCCCATCGAGGTCGTCTGCTAGACGGAGTAACTGGCGCTGCAGCAGCATCACAAGGAAGCGTGTTGCTGTGGTGGCGGCTCCTGGCAGCACACTGAACATGAGCGGCGCTGCTTCCCGGAAGAAGGAGAGTGCCTCTGAATGGTGGGAATCAAGGCAGGGGGAGAGTGGGGAGTAAGCACCGAGCAGAGCAGCACAAAGAAGAGGAGCAGTTAGCAAGGAAGCAGGGAGCAAAACAGTAGTGAGCAGAGCAGCAGTGAGCAGAGCAGCAGTGAGCAGAGCAGCAGTGAGCAGAGCAGCAGTGAGCAGAGCAGCAGTGAGCAGAGCAGCAGTGAGCAGAGCAGCAGTGAGCAGAGCAGCAGTGAGCAGAGCAGCAGTGAGCAGAGCAGCAGTGAGCAGAGCAGCAGTGAGCAGAGCAGCGCACCTGCAGGCGAGGACGGGCCTCCGACAGGCTCCATGCTCCTGAGCTGCGGCGCCAGCAGCGTCCAGAGGCGCCGCAGAGTCCCCAGCGCCTCCACATCGTCATCTGACAGGCTGGCCGTGCGCCAGTCCCCGCTCACCATGCCCAGCACGGCTCCCGGGAGGAGGAGCGGCAGGGGGTAGGTGCCCGGCTGCTGCAGCTGCGCCGGCACTGGGAGGAGCGTGCGGGCGACGAGTGCGGACCAGAGCGCTGCTAGGGCCTCTCGTGACATGGCGTCCACTGTGCGCGCCATCTGGGGGGGGGGGGGGGGGGTAAGGGGGATGGGGAGAGGAGGGGAAGAGGAGGGTTTTGAGTCGACTCAAAAGGCCGCTCGTGATATGGCGTCCACCGTGCGCGCCATCTGGGGGGATGGGTACCCGGGATGGGGAGAGGCGGGGAAGAGGAGGGTTTTGAGTCGACTCAAAAGTCACCTCTCGTGACATGGCATCCACTGTGCGCGCCATCTGGAAGGATTCGGAGGGGAGGGGAGAAGCGGCGAACGAGTGGACGGGGGAAAGGAAGCGTGAGAGGAGGCAAGAGAGATGATGTGCATAAGTGTACCGCAGCAGGTGCTGCTCTCCGAAAAATGGCAAAAGGTAAGAATAGAGCGTGAGAGGATGCAGAGAGAGGGAGAGAGCAGAGGAAAGAGAGCGAGGGAGGCGGGACCAACCTCTGTGAGGACAAGCTCTTGCACGTAACTGCCCTCTGGTGCCAGCACCGTCTGCACCACCTCCCATGCCACTGGATCCACCACGCCCGCTCCCTCATCCACCCCAGGCCACGCCACCGCTCCTGCTGCTGCTCCTGCTGCTGCTGCTGCTGCTCCTTGCATTGCACCCACACCCTCTCTCCTCCCTGCCGCCGCCATAGCAACAGCCGGCCTGAAATCCCCAGTGCTGGCAAAATCACCCGGGCTGTCAGCAGAACCGTCAGCAGCAGCTGAAGCATCATCGGGAGTGGTGGCACCGGCGGCAGCAGCAGAGGCGATGGCGTCGACAGCAACGGCATCGAGGTGGGGCGAGGCAGAGGGGGGCGTGGCCATGAGGTGGCGGAAGGAGAGGAAGTTCTGTGTGAGCTCCTCCACCCGTGCCACGTCCAGGCGCTCCCCTGACCCGTATAGGAAGTCCCGTAGCACTGCACGGGCGCGCGGACTGTGGTGGGGGGAAAGGGGGATTAGAGTGGCGGAAGGAGAGGAAGTTCTGTGTGAGCTCCTCCACCCGTGCCACGTCCAGGCGCTCCCCTGACCCGTATAGGAAGTCCCGTAGCACTGCACGGGCGCGCGGACTGTGGTGGGGGGAAAGGGGGATTAGAGTGGCGGAAGGAGAGGAAGTTCTGTGTGAGCTCCTCCACCCGTGCCACGTCCAGGCGCTCCCCTGACCCGTATAGGAAGTCCCGTAGCACTGCACGGGCGCGCGGACTGGGGGTGGGGAAGGGGACGAAGGCAATGGGGGGGGAAGGGGTGAGAGGACGAAGAGGAGAGGGAAGGCAAGGGGAGGTTGGGGGAAGTGGGAAAGGACAGAGAAAGTAAATGCATCACAAAAGGAGCAAACAGCATTGAGCGAAGCACACACACACAACCCTCCCCACGCACCCGCGCCCCAAACCACAGCCCGTCGCCCGTACACACTCACGAGTCGTCAGTGAGCAGGCGCTTGGCAATGTACGGGTAGCACCCCTGCAGCGTGGAGTAAGAGAATGAAGCATGAGCAGAGCAAACCACAGCCACCCATCCACCCACGCCCCATACCACAGCCCCCAGCCTCGCACTCACGAGTCGTCAGTGAGCAGGCGCTTGGCAATGTACGGGTAGCACTCCTGCAGCGTGGAGTAAGAGAATGAAGCATGAGCAGAGCAAACCACAGCCACCCATCCACCCACGCCCCATACCACAGCCCCCAGCCTCGCACTCACGAGTCGTCAGTGAGCAGGCGCTTGGCAATGTACGGGTAGCACTCCTGCAGCGTGGAATAACTCGGGTCCCGGTCCAACCCAATCCCTTCCAGCGTGCCAAACGCGCGCAGAATCAGCGCAAAGTAACTCGGAATCACAAACACATAGTCCTGCGCCATGGACGAGAGATCCTCTGCCACCTGCCCGAAGTTGATGTTGCGTGCGCCGCCGCCTTGGGTGATCTGAGACATGACGCGGGCTAGCTGCGGGACGACAGACTTGGTCTTCTCCTCGTTGACCAGGTCCGGGGGGACGAAGCCCAGGACCACGAGGTCTTGGGCTACTCGCTCGTAGTCCGCGCTGAGCAGGTGCGAGATGTAGGAGACGAGTGCGTAGCGCTGGGGCTCCGTGACCTGTGTGGGGGAGAGGGGGGAGTGGGAGGGGGGAAGGGAGGGGGAAGCGATGGGGGCGAAGCCCAGGACCACGAGGTCTTGGGCTACTCGCTCGTAGTCGGCGCTGAGTAGGTGCGAGATGTAGGAGACGAGTGCGTAGCGCTGGGGCTCCGTGACCTGTGGGGGGGCAGGGGTGGGAAGAGAGGGGGAAGGGATGGGAGGGGGTTGGTGAGGGGGGAGTGGATGAGCGAAATGGAAGAGATGGGGGTGCACCAAAGGAGTGAGTATGGGGAAAGGTGGGATGGGGCTATGCGGCCCACACCAGCGCAACAAGTGATACCTAACTGCCACCCTGCAAACTGACCCACCCCTCCCAACGCTCTTCCTTCCATCCTTGCCCTCACCCCTCCCCATCCCTCCACACCCCTCGTCGTCTACTCCGCCCATACCATCAAATCCCAAGCACAGTGACAACACTGCACTGCACTGCACCTCGCCCCCTTCACATCATCCACCGCACCACTCACCTCAGTCATGAATCCAAAGTCCAGGATACACAGCTTGCCATCGGAGGTCACTTCTGAGGAGGTTTTCAAGGCGCCTCACAAACCCCAGAGACACCACCGCACATCGCACCCCTCCTGCCACGCACCTCGGTCATGAACCCAAAGTCCAGAATGCACAGCTTCCCATCGGAGGTTCTGAGAAGGTCTTTGAGGCGCCTCACAAATCCCAAGCACAGAGACACCACCACACATCGCACCCCCTGCATCGCTCACTTCCGTCACTCACCTCAGTCATGAATCCAAAGTCCAGGATGCACAGCTTGCCATCGGAGGTCCTGAGGAGGTTCCCCGGGTGCGGGTCTGCGTGCAGAAAGCCGGTTTCGAGCAGCTGGATGAGGTAGCAGTTGAGCGCCAGGGTCACCAGACTGCTCACATCCGCCGTCTGTGCGTCTGACAGCTTCTCGCCCTGCACCCACTCCGTTGTCAGCACCTGAGGTAGGAGGGGGGCGTGGATGGGTGGGTGGGGGGAAGGGAAAGAGGGAGATGGAAGGTTGACGTGTGAGGGAAAGTGCATGCATGATGCCTGCGTGTGGGTGAACGAGACAAGCAAAACGAGAGCAGGGTAACGCAGAGGTACATCTGTGTCAATCAATCGTGTCCCTCCCTCCCTGCGCCCATCCCTGCAAGCACTCCTGCATGCGTCCCTAAATGCGCCCCTGGAGGTGCGAACGTCCATGTAATCGCTCTCACCACTTCCCTACTATCACACCCTATAGAGTCACGTACGCGAGTGCTGGTGAGATCTGTGAGGACACGTGGCACCACCACATTGCGCAGCCTCTGCATGTCCTCGCGGAACCGCGTTGCGTTCGCGCCCTGGCGGATGGGGTTGCGGATGAGGGGGAAAGGAAGAGAAAGGGGGGGAGTAGGCGGGGGGTTGAGGGAGGGGGGAGGGAAGCGTGGTCAGACGAGCAATGCAAACGAGAGGACGAAAACGAGGAGGTGCAACTCTGCAGACAAGGGGTGGGAAGGGTGGGAAGGGTGGGAAGGGTGGGAAGGGTGGGAAGGGTGGGAAGGGTGGGAAGGGTGCAATCGCCCGTACCTCCTTCTGGTAGTCCAGCTCGTCCCAGAAGCGGCTGGAGAAGGAATCCAGCACTTCCGCCAGGTCCGTGTGCACGCCGGGGATGGCGGAAGCCACCTGCGCGAGCGCGCGCAGCAGCAGCAGGTCGCAGCAGATGTCCTCGCGCACCTCCGGCCGCTGCACCTTCACCGCGACATCCTCCCCCGTTGCGCGCACGCGCGCGCGGTACACCTGCCCCAGCGACGCCGCCGCCACGGGCTTATCTAAGCCGTCGAACACCTCCTCCGCCGGACGGCCGAGATCGTCCGATATGATCCGGCGCGCGTCGGCGGAGGGGAAGGACGGCACGCGGTCCTGCAGCGTCTGGAGCTGCTCGATGTAAGCGGGGGGCATTATATCGGGGCGGATACTTAGCGCCTGGCCTATCTTAATCGCCGTGGGGCCTAGCCGCGTGATTAACTCCATCGTCTGCTGCGCGCGCAACTGCTCGTTCTGCTTCCCCTCCCCGCGCGCGTAGTCCAGCGCCAACCCCGCGAGTACTTCCGAACACTGCGCAGCCATCCACACGGCGCGCGCAACCACCCGCGCGGGGCGCAGCTTGAAATACGCCGCGATTGCCTCCGGGTCGTACGTGGACGGAATCTCCTTGCCCTTTTCTCGCGCGTCGCTCACAGCATCCACCACCGCTTTCACGAGCAGCGCCGCGAGGCCTGCCGCGATCGCCGCGGCGGTCGGCGCGACGATGGGTTGGGAAGAGAAGGAGGAGACGAGGGAGGAAGCGGAGGAGGCGAGGGAAGAGGCGAGGTAGGTTGCGAGGCGCGCCGCGGTGGTGGGGAGAAAGGCGGGATCGGCGGAGGCCTGCGCCAAGGCGGAGTCGACCGACACGCGCAACGAGGATGTGAGATGATCCGAGCTCTGCGCGGCGCGGGAAACAACGTGACGGAGAGAGAGGAGAAGAGGCGCGAATTAGGAGGTGGAGACGGATGTATTCTGAGAGGGTGACAGAGGAGGTAACCAACAGACACAAGGCAATTGTACGAACGCTTAGAGAACGAACATAGGGTCTTACTTGTAACAGCGCAGAGGACGCCTCGCCGAGGCGCGTTAGGCCACGAGAGCTCGCGATAGTTGTTCCTGACAACGCGCTCACGGCGGCACCTGCCGATGCGCCCGCCTGACCCACCCCACCCGCAGCTGCCGCTAAAGCTTGCTGCACTGCCGCCGCCCCAGCCTGCCCCTGCTCCTGAATCGCACGGCCGAGATCAGCTCCCGCCTGAATCGCACTGGCTGGGCCGCTCGCAGCGGCGGATGCGGCGGCGGTTGCGGCGTCGATCGGGGATTGCTCTACGATATTCTGAACCCAGCTGGCTACCGCTGCTGCGAAGGAATTCGCCTGATCTGCAGCCGCGGTCGCAGCACCAGCAGCGTCAGGCAAGCGAATTCCCTGAAGCGCCTGAGTACTTGACGCTACGCCTGAAGTTACGCCTCCTGTTGCCTCTGTGAGGAGCTTCAGTAGGGTTGGCGCTGCCTCAGCCGCTGCTGGTGCGGGATCAGCAAGGCCGGAAACAATAGCTGCTACGAGAGCAGCTGCAGCGGTAGGGGCTACAGCCGCTGAGGAAGCAGCGGCAGTGGCAGCGGCAGAGGGAGGTGAGGAAGCAGAAGGAGCGCGAGAAGTGGGAGCATCGTCGGACCCGGGAAGCGGAGACCGCGATGCGCGAGGCTGAAATGTCCTGCTTGTAGCGCCTTGTCCCGGAGTTTGGCGCGCGGAACGAGTCTTTGTGCGCGCAGCGACGCGTGCCGGCCAAGAGGAACTGGGCGCGCGTGGAGTGGGAAAGCCGCCTGCGCGGAGGGATTGCGACGCGGTGCGCGTGCAGCGTCTTTGCCGCGGCCGTCCAAACTGTTGGGCCAGAGCTGGAAGTGTCAGCGCCTGATCAAGCGAGAGGCCAAGAGGGGCCATGGCGACTCGAGATAAAGAGAAAGCAGAATCAGTCGCTTGAACGCGGTTTGAGCGGAAAATGCTCTGAGGCGGGCGCGGCGAGTGTGAAAACGAGCGGGGTCCAGACGAACTAAGTGCTCGTCCCCACGAAACTGCTGCACGCAAATGAGGAAACGAAGTGTTTCTTCTTAGCTGCTCAGATGATGACGCTACTCTACCGACCTGACCAGCTCTTGAATTGTCCTCGCGACTAGTGCATGAAGCTGAGGTGGATTGAAAGTATGGTGGTTCCTTCCTCCCTCACTCATCCGCGGGCTTGCCGCTGATGCTGAATAAACCAAAGGCGGAACGAGCGGCTAGCAACACCCCACAAAGCACTGCCCGCATAAAAAAGTGCAGATGTCTGGCAGCGCCTTTGGAAGATGTGCCCGCAGGGATGGGGAGGTGGCAACGCTGGTGGAAGAGCCTTGGGAACACAAACTTTAAGCAATCGAACTTGATTGGCTGAGACCACGGCCTATGGTGTGGATGGAACCAGAGGCGGTCGGAAGCCAAGAGATTTCGTGAGAGCTCATTTACAGTGGAAAAAGTGCGCAAAAACAGAAACAAAACGTACCCTTTGCCAACTTTCTCCTCGTTTCATAGGTCGCGGAGTGTCGCGAGGTCTGGTCGCACCTTTCTCTGGTTCTTGCTTGAGCAGTTCTTAGGGTTGCTGGATACCGTAACCATGCTTCTGGGAATGCGATCTTATTAATATGGGATGGGCAGAGCAGATGCAACCACGTACACACCTGCGATATAAAACAGGTTTGAAGTGACACGCCGTCAAGCATCTGACGACGAGACCCCCCCGACGGGATTTTCTCGTCTTCTCTGGAGGAACAACAAGGCACGGGAGGGAGTAAAGCGTGGCCTTCGTGATGACGCGTGGCGTCAGAAATTGAGCACCACTGTGTTGTGGTGTGACACGGCATTCCTAGAAAATGTGCCAATCTCTTGAAGCGAACAGAGTGTGGGGTCCGGGAGCAGTATAAGCAGCGCAACGAATATCATTCTATTTTGTTATATTTTGTGAAGCATAACACACGACATGTTATTCATGCCAATCTGTTTAGCTGAACTCAGTACACACCACGCTTCTTAGAGCTTGCTACCTTATTTACTCATTTTCTGTAATAGGCTGACTGCATATATATTCCCAGCTAGGTAGCCTTGTACCGTCCTGTGCTCATCCAAACAAAACCTTTTCCCGTTGGCTTTTCCCCCTGGCACATTCCCCCACCGAGCACATTTCCCCACTGAACCTCTGGCTGATTTGGAAACAGAATTTGCAGCCTAGGGTCGGGAAAGGCCAGCCAGGAGCAGTAGAGCACCGCAGCAGCAACGACCCCAGCCAAGGACATGAGCACAAGGGCGCCAAAATACTTGGGATCGTGGAAGACTATGGCGAGGGTGAGCATGGCGAGCTCTGCGAGGCAGGCCAGAGCCATCTCCATGGTTCCAAACAGGTTGGCTGATGCCGCTGGGACAGCCTGAATGATTTGACCTTCAACTATTTGGTACACTCCCTGGCCCATGCGGGAAAGTACCTGCCACACGATTCAGTGACGAAGGAAGTGAGTGACTATCCACACCTAGAGCGTACTTGGCATGGCAGGAACTAAGACTTGGGACATGGTACAGCAAGAAGCAGGTCTGGACAAATCTAAAAATTTGCCTGATAAGCAAGTAGTTATAATCTAATGGGGCAGACTCACCAGAAGCAAGAGGAAGAGCATGAGCAGGCACTGATACAGAAAGGGAGGGCAGAGACGGAGAGAGGAGAAGTCGAACACGGATAGGGCGAGCAAGGTGGCCTGGAAGAGAAGGGCAATGCTGCCCGCCTGGCGTGAACGACAAGGGGGAGCAGTGAGGAGGGGACGAGAGTGAAAGAAAAAGAGGGAGGAATGAGCTGATTGAAGAAGGAAAAGGACCATACTCTCCCCTGTCGCATCTCATTGCCCATGAGTAGCTGGTGATCACTGAAATTCAAATTGCAGCTTTATGACTCCACACCCGTCGCATCCCACCAGTGCCCCCATGACAACCCATCACTTGCCCCATGACATCCCATCACTGCCCCCATCACAGCCCACCAGTGCTCCCATGGCATCCCAGCGCACCTGCAGAATCCTGAGGCGTGCCACGAGTGCAGGCGACACAAAGGAAGCAGCGAAACCCATGGCCGCACCGGCGCTGCTGAATGCGCCTATCACCGCCATGCCCACCCCTGCACAGCACACAACCTCACACGAGGCCCAGATAAGTCGCACGCACAAGTGGGAGGCAGCAGCAGGTTCTGGGCACTAGAGCGCGTCCTGCAACATAGACATTTGTAATTGATAAAGGGAGGAGGGGACGGAGCGTTGGGCATGGTGGGAGGGGCAGAGGAACGGACCGTGGTGGAAGAGGAAGGAGGTCATGAGTACCCCGGGTGCAAGCACAGCATTGAAGCACAGCAACACATACGCCATGCTCGCAGGCATCACCGCCTCCTGCACAAAGCTCCTCCACCCCTTCCCTGCTGCTCTCCCCACTGCCGATACCGCTGCTCCTGCCCCTGCTCCCACTGCCAACAATGACACTACAACAGCGTGTGTGCATCTCCAGAGTATCCCCTCAGCTGGTGAAAGACTGGGCGATAGTGCGGTGATTGCAGTGGCACGGGCTGGACTGGTTGGTTGAATGGGTGTGATGTCACATGCGGGTTCTGTCTCCTGCATTATGGCCAGTGAGCACTCTAGCCCTGCTGCTTCCTTGCTTAGTAGCACTGTGCAAGCTGCAGCATCCGCCACGTGAGAAGCTGCACGCATAGGTACAGAAAAGAGTGCCTCCCCCTGCACCGACTCAGCTGAGACCCGAGCTCCATCGTCCAAGGCAGCAAGAGAAGACGAAACACCAGTAGCACCACCCGAAGCGTCAAAAGCGGCAGCTGGAGACGTCGCAGAAGCAGGCGGTAGAGCAGCAGCAGCAGTATCAGTAGCCTCGTCATGAGTAGCAGGAGACGCTGCGGGCACCAATCTCTGTGTGGATGGAGTGACCTCAAGGGGAATAGTCTGGCTGAGGGCTGCATGCGAGAGGTGGTTTGTGAGAGCAGTCAGCGCAAGCTGTTGAGTGTGCACTGACCCTGCAGACTGGGTCGTCACTTTCTGCGGGGGAGGGGAGAAATCCGCCAAAGCGAATTCTGCAGAAGTCAACGCGGAACTCTGCACTGCAGCAGAGTCACCTCGCAGAAGCGGAAAACAGGTTCCGCTGCAGACGAAGGCGAATCTGCCGAGCAGAACGTGGAGCTGCAGAGGGCGCATCTGCAGAAGTTCGGATCTGCAGAGGATGGCGCATCTGCAGAAGCGAAATTCTGCAGAGGACCGAATCTTCTACCGGCGAACCCCTCCGACGCGAAAGTGCGATCGTTTCGGAACTTTTGCGTGGGAATTTCGGAACATTGCATGACATTAAATCGACCCCGGGGAACAGTGCGCGGAACTAGGGTATTCAATCTGGGGCGAAACTGAACCACCTGCACAGAATGAACCTGGCGCACGTTTTCGTAACTACGAAAACGTGCGTTACAGAAGTTGTTTAAAACAACCTGAACAGCTAAAACAACTACTTTTAGGTCGGTAAAATTACCAACTAAGCACGTGTTGTAATTTTCACCTGCCGACGCTGAGTTGGCAAAGCGCACCTAAAAGTAGTTATGTAAACGTTCTTGGGCGAACGTTCTCTGCATGGTTCATTGGTTGGGTAGCTTCTATTTCACCCTTGTATTCTATCTTTCATTCTATTCTAGTGATTTTTTTCCTTGTGTGCCAAATCTATGCCTTTTTCAACACTTAGCCAATTTTCTCCTTAGTGAACAACAAAGTTTGCGTGGCTGCAGAGAAGCATTTCGTAGAGCTCCAACTCCCGTTAGAGCAGAAATCTCTGCACAAGCTGCATGGGTGACAAGGGTATAGGAAGGGGGGGAGGAGAATGGGAGAGAGAGAGAGGAAGGGAAGGGAGGGGAGTGCTTGAATGATGGGAAAACATAGAGACGATTGTAAATAAGCGGGGGGGGGGGGTTTGGGGGCGGGGGAGCTAAATGAAGGTACGAGTGACAGGGGAATGAAGAACGAATTGCAGACATGGTGACAATGACAATCAACAACGAGAATAGGGTTTGGGGAGTATACTGAAGGCGACTTGTGAATAAGAGGTGCAAAGGAGGGGGCATATGGATACAGGGAAAGGGAAGGAAGAAAAAGCAAAGCGGGTGGTGCTTGACTTGACATGTGGAAGACAAAGGCACGTGCCGGCGTCTGAACATAGAATAGAAAGTGTAGCAGAGGAAGGAATGCGTGGCACAGGCAAAGGGGGGCATACGAGAGCCGGGATGGAGAGGGCAGCGAGAGCAAGGCATGCTCTGACACAGACTAGCGGACCATAGGTGGCAATAAGTGCCCCAAAGATGAATGTCCCTGCCACCTGCAGAATGGGATGGCGAGCAGCGAGAGGGGGAAAAGAAAGGGACAGAAGTGAGAGTGGGCAGTGGCTAGGGAGAGTGGAGTGGAGAGGTGAAGGGGACATGCCCAAACTTATAAAGGTTAGATGAACTAGAGAAGCAGCGTACAGGCATTTGACGAGAGACAGCACAATTAGGGAATGAGACAATTTGACGAGACACGCCGCTTCCTTGTCAGAAATACGAGATCCTGAGTAATGAGGTATGTTTGCATGAGCGAGTTGACAACAGCTTTAAGTCTGTTTACCATATGTATGACTGGTTGCCCTGCATGAAAGACGCAGAGATTCAAGCGTGTGCGGAACAAATTGAACTGGATGCACTGAAGCAGTCAAAAGAGTTTAAACCACCCACACATTCCTTCCCTCCTCACATCGGAAGGTGCATCATGCACAGGAGTGCAACCCAGCATACATGCCACTCGAGCGCCTCAGAAGGCAAGAGCAGGGAGACAACGCAACATGCATGGCGTGTGCAGCAGAGGCGAGTGGGTGACCCACATGCACTGAACAGCCTGCCTCACCTCGCACAAGAGCTCCACCCTTCCCAGCGTGGCCATGGCCGTCGCCATGAGCACTGGCCGATCCTCTCCCACCAGCTGAATCGTGTGCAGGGTGGGAGGGAAAGACAACAAAACAAAGGCGATTGTGAGGCACCGTGCATGCATTTGCCGATGTACCCCTACCCCCATGTGTGTAAGTGATTGAATACGCTATTATCGGCAAGCGTTTATAGCTTGCGTACACTTGTGTGTACATGATATGCGGTTGCATTTATCATACACTCTCGCCCATTCTTCCGGTTGTGAAGAAAAACGAACACTGACCATCCCAATCACACTGCATCTATCCTCACCTGGAAAACACAGCCTTGTGCATCCCCCTCCACTCAATATCACATCCTGAAAAATCAGTCACAATCATTCATACATCCGAAGTTTCCTGCATGTCTACATCAGTCACGGCATTTCCACACGCCTAGCCTACCGGACGCAGCACCTAAAAATAGCATCACCAATGACAACCCCTCCTTGTGGTACCACTCGAACAAAAAAAGGTTGAACGGACAGGCAGCCCATGACATGACCTAGCGACGCTTGAGGGTGCTGCGTATTGGGACACTTAGCCATGCGCTAATGGCACTCAAACTCCCATGCACCCATGCACCCATGCTCCAATGCACCCATGCTCCCATGCACCCATGCTCCCATCCTCCCATGCTCCCATCCTTCCATGCTCCCATCTGCAGATGCTCACATGCACCCATGCTCCCATGCACCCATGCTCCCATGCTCACATGCTCCTATGCACCCATGCTCCCATGCTCCCATGCTCCCATGCTCCCGTGGTCCCACAAGGACCCACAAGAGTGACATAGAGAGAGGGCACGCACAACAAGCACCCAGTCGATCTCCACAGCCACGCCTGTCGCCAGCCCCATGAGGCGCTCCACCGCACCCGCCACCACCACCACCACGAACCACCCCTGCTGCAGCACCGCTGCTGCCGGCAGCGCACACAGCGCTGACGCGCCGGCTGTGCTGGCAACAGCTGCTACTGCGGTGTCAGGGAAGGCGAGGTGCAGCGCGTGCATGGTGGCTGCTGCTCCCACCATGATGGCCGTGGACTGGGCGCAGGGGAGACAAGAGAGATGGCGCATGGGGTAGAGAGGGGAGGGTGTGAGGGGGGCGTTGGGGAGACTTGAAGGCATGGATAGGTGGCTCAAAGACGGGAGGGACAATGGACGGGGAAAGAGAAGGGCACAGTGCGGGAGGAAGGGTGTTGCTGTGGGGCGTGCGATGAGCTGACCTGAGCGACGAGGATGGTTGTGAGGGCCGGCACCCTGGGAGCGGAGTCCAGTAGGTCACCTACCAGTGGCGCCGCCACACACGCCACCAGTTGCAGAAGACGTGGGGGAGGGGTGAGGGAGGAGAATGGCGGGTGAAAACGTGGGGGAGAAGAGGTGGACGATAAGTGGAAGAAAGCAGGGTAGCGGAACGATCTTAAGGGAGGAAATAGAGTAGTGAAAAGAAGGGAGCTAAAACCATCTGAACCTGAAACCTGGGCATGTGGGAGAGATGGGCAATTGTGAGGGCTTGCGCACTGCGGCATGCAAATGTGTCCACATGGAATTCATACACGTGTAGGATTAAATGCACATCAAGCGAGTGCATGTGCATGTGCTGTGCATGTGCACGTGCATGTGCATGTGCATGTGCATGTGCATGTGCTGTGCACGTGCATGTGCATGTGCATGTGCATGTGCTGTGCACGTGCATGTGCATGTGCATGTGCATGTGCATGTGCTGTGCACGTGAAATGTGCATGTGCATGTGCATGTGCATGTGCTGTGCACGTGCATGTGCATGTGCATGTGCTGTGCACGTGCATGTGCATGTGCATGTGCATGTGCTGTGCACGTGCATGTGCATGTGCATGTGCATGTGCTGTGCACGTGCATGTGCATGTGCATGTGCTGTGCACGTGCATGTGCATGTGCATGTGCTGTGCACGTGCATGTGCATGTGCATGTGCTGTGCACGTGCATGTGCATGTGCATGTGCATGTGCTCACCTGGCTCACGAATCTCGCCACAGCCACCGGCAGTATCGAGCGATGCAATAACACGAGCGAAGCTGTCCCTGCAAACCGCCACGACTGCTCGGCGAAGCAGTTGATGACGAATGTCCAGTACAGGGCTGCAGAGCCGGGAGGAGACACACGGGGGGAGGCAGAAGGGGCGGGGGGGAGGGGGGGAAGAGGAAATGGGGGCGCCGCACGGGCTTCCACACAGCGAGACCGGAGCTATCGCCGTTTCCTTCTCAGGGGGAAAGGTAATGAAGGGTTGATGGTGCATGCAGGACAGACTCAGTCGGACGAGGGAGAGAAGATGGAAGGTTGAGAGTGGTGCTTCCGCTGTCAAAGGCTTCATTTGCATGACTAGGACTCGTGAGAACTTGGGAGCTCGTGAACGGAACCACACGTGAAAACCAGGGCAATCCACAGAACCTCCCTCAAGTTGAGGCAGCCGGAAGGTGATCACGTAGTATTGCGGGGACGGTGACATGACAAGCTAGAAGAACATGAAGGCTCGAGGAGGAAAGGGGCGAGACACACCGTGGAAAGTCCTGTCCCTAGGGACATGGGTGTGTCAGGCCTGGCGGGGAGCGTGGGCGGGCGGAGGTAAGCGAGGAGCCGAGAGTGGTCGATCAACGCACCATGCAGAGCAGCGGGATGGGCAGGGCGAGCCGGTAGTAATTCCTCTTCCGGCAATGGCTCTCCCACATCCTGCTCCTTGGCCCGTTCCGCCCCTGCCTCTGCGGCCAGCCCGCTTGAATAGCCACTGTCGTTGCTGGTATCACTGTCGCTGTCTCTGCTGCAGTCACAATCGATCCCAACATCCCTGCCTGCGCTGAGGCTGCTCAAGCTGCTGACGCTGCTGCTCCTGCTGCTGTGCCCCCAGCGGCACTCACTCAACAGCTGAGCGGCGCCAGGTACGTCATGGCTACTAGGAGGCACTACTTGGAACATCTCACAGCATATTGAGGTCTCGGTCCATCTCGTCAATATAATATTTCACAAGCGATTAGAGAGATCATGTGACGTCGTTACTCATGGCTTGGAATGGAAGAGCGGCAGTACTAGGTAGGGAAAGCTTTTAGCAAGAAAAGAAAGAGAGTTTAAAAAACCCTACTAAGATGTGATTAGAGAGATGTGACCTAGAAACAGTCCTCTGTCGAATCCGAGGTTGAGTCAGCCTAGTTCACGCAGAGCAGGCCGCTTTGGCCGCCATGCAACTCCGACAAGCCACTGCTTGTTCAACAAGTTGGACTGACTTAACTCTCGTGTAACAAGCAAGGGAACCAGCTCCAAGCAAGGAGAGGGCCATCAGATATCTCCAGGGCTGACGCTCACTGAGAGAACAATTGTCGAACCGAGTGAATTTAGACGGCATTGGCCCGCGCATCGGGACATGGCCTTGTACAGTAATAGTACTAGGGAGGTCTCATCTCACACGAAAAAGCGCTCACTTTCACACCCATGACACAGAAAGTACATCTCTACACGTATGCTGGACAGCCAGCACTGCAAACTTCAGCGGCGCGTCGCGTGACGTGTCAGCTGTGGTGGAGAGTCCTGACCTAACAACCTCGCCACTTGCTCCAGCCCACAACAACCAGAACTGCTCGGGGCTGCATCTTATCTGCTTCAGGGGTAATGTTCGGTTCGGACGGATGCCATGCCACTCAGAATGAGGAGGAGCCGCCGAGCCCTGAACACCCGCGCTATCGCTCCGCCTAATCACTCCGAACCGAACGAACCCCGATGACTCCGCCTGGCCTGGTCTGCTGCAGACCTCGTCCACGAGGCTACAGCAAAAGTACACGTACACAAGGATGAGGAGCGCACCTGCCTTGTACAGCAGCAAATCACTGCCCAGTCGTTTACGACAGGCAACGGCCGAATCGTTCAGTCACAAAAGCACGCAGAATCTCACAACGTGACAAACATAATACACTTTGTTTGCCGGGTTTCCAGTCCCAAAACTTACACGTACACATTAGTTGACTTGGATGACTTGATTCGGAAATGTTAGTGTGTACACGCCCGCTGTACCATTCTGTCGCTTCTGGGTCAGGGTTTCGGAAGGATTGAAAGGTTAGATTGAAATCAGTGTACAAGGTACAAAGTGAAGAGATAATAGCAAACAACCAACCTCTAAAAAAGGAGGTACACAGGAAAAACATCTATTCCCCAATTCCTAAGGACAGCCCCATGCAAGCCTGGGGTGTCAACGAAGGAACAGGGGACGAGGTTCGAGCACGAGGGTCGCGACGACCCTCGTGTCAGGAAGAGAGACGAGGCGGGTCAGGGACGGGAGGAGGAAAACGAGCCGGAGACGGGTACGGGAGAGGCACTGGGGCAGTGGGAGGACATTCAATCAAAGAAAAATGAAGAACAAGAAGCTGAAGACCAGTCACCGGAGGCGACGGCGCCCGCTGAAGGTGTTGCGGCTGCTGCTGCTGACGCTTCTACTGCTGCTGGGCCGCTACACCCCCAGGGTCCGTACCTCCCCCGGCAAAACCTCTAGAGCCAGTACCTCTGGCGTCAGCACCCCCAGAGCAAACGCCTCCAACGTACCCCCAGAGCCAACACCTCCAGCGTCAGCACCCCCATAGCCAGTACCACTAGTGTCAGCACCCCAAGAGCCAGCACCCCAAGAGCCAGCACCACCAGCGTCAGCACCCCCAGAACCAGCACCCCCAGAATCAGCACCTCCAGGGCCAGCACACACTGCAGCTACACCCCCCGAACCAGCGCCCCCAATCTCCACAATGGCCGGCCGCTGCGACGCGAGACCTGGCTGCGGCGACTGAGAGGATGAGGCCGGTGACGGTGGGGACCGCGGGGTAACGTGCAAAAGACGAGATCGGGCGGGACGCGGGGGGAGGGGACCTACCGGAAGGGCGGGACTAGGTGGGGGAGCGGTCGTGAGGAACTGGGGATGGGGGGGGGGGGGGACGGGGGTACCTCTGTGGGTGAAACGAATGTAAAAGCATACAAACTCGTTAAAGGTGACGTGACGAGAGATAAAGAAGCGACGGGAGAAAGGGTGGTAGAACATCCAGCTAGGAGTGTCTAGAGGGAAACTAAAGAAGACACAGGAGACAGTAGGGGTTGAGAGCTTATTTGCACCAGGATCGCGAACATGAGGAAGACAGCCCCATACACAAAACGCAGACGCAGGAGCAGGTGACCCAGTCCAGAGTAGGGTCGACGAAACTTGTGGGCGCGAGGAAGGGGGCCACAGGTTAAGCTAGTGCGCGGCGTAGCGGACTGCAAAGGGCAACAGAAAATGGGGGGGCACCTGTATGGCACATGGAGGTACGAGCGACCTCCATGATCAAGCCAATGCGGCGCTCAGTGATTCCATTCAGATGCGGCGAGTCTGGCCGCGAGAAGGATTGCCGGATACCTTGCGCACAACAAAACTGCTCGACCCGACCGGAGGTGGACTCACCACCCTGGTCAGAGTGCGGACAAAGCACAGGGAGACCTCACTTGGTGCGGACATCCACAATCCACGGAAGGAGAGTGTCAGGCACGTCGGCCTTCCGCTCCAACAGAAACACAGTGGTGTAGCAGGAAAAGTCGTCCACGACTACTAGAAAATAGCGCTCCTCGCGAAGTACAGCAACTTGGGCAGGGCCCCAGAGGTCCATGTGCACGGTCTCAAGTGGGGCAGTGGCGTAAGATAGCGAGGAGTGAAGGGAAGCGCGCTGCCGACCCTCGACGCAGGGAGTGCACGGCGGCGCAGACGAGGGAGGAAGCGGGGAAAACGGTTCTCTGGAAGTCTTGAGACCAGGCGACGGGGAACCATCTGACGAAGACGCTGGAAAGAGGGGTGACCTAGGCGGTGGTGCCACAGATAAGACGGTTGTTTTAAAGGACCAACACGAACAGGACGTAGCTCCCTGACCAGACGCAGACACTGGGCCAGACTCAGTGCGCAGGGAAAAGATGCCTGAACCAGATTCCCAGGAGAACATGGCAAGAGGGGCCCCAGTAGTAGAGTCCGTACAGGTCGCAAACCGCTCGTGCCCAGGAAATGTGATGGTGACACCTAGGTCGTGAAGGTGACCCACACCGACCATGTTCCTGGAGAACAAGGGGAGATGCAGACATGTGAGGAAGTTAGAGGGGACTGCTGGACACGGGAGCGTAGTAGTGCTGCGCACGACGTTTCGTCTAGATGAGGGGTCGGCCAGTACAACTGCGACGAGAGCTCGAAGAAGCGCGAGGCTCGTATGGTCGCGAAAGAAACACTAGGAAGTGCCGAAGTTGAGTGTGAAGGAAAGTGGCGCGTCCCCAGTGGTCACACATGTGCTAGCAACAGCAGAGGGTCCTACTGAAGAAGCAGCTAGAGATCCTAGACTAGAGGCACACGAATAAGGTCCAGCAACACTAGAGTCAACAGCATTTAAAACAGCAGGTACGTCAGTCGTATTTATAGTAAAGATAGGCACACCACTCTGCATCAGAGAGTACCAGTCCGAGAGAGCCGCCCGATGGCCAAAACACAGGCGGTAGAGGTCGTCGAGGCGCCTGAAGCAGCGTGCTGAAGAGTGATATGGACGTCCGCAGACAGTGCCAACGCCGAGGCCACTATGAAGGCGGCATCGGCACGGCCCACCGTCGTGGCGCAGTACCTGAAGCTGTGGTGTCTTACTTCATCTCGACGCTTACTATCGGGCTAACTCACCACAAATCGCCGCTGTCTAAGCTCAAACTACTTGGCTATGTCGACGCCAATCACGCGGGTGATATTGAAACATACGCTCACGCACGTGATTCGTATTTTGTCTTGAGCCTGTTGGTACCATCTCTTGGCAGTCAAGCAAACAAGAGCTGATTGCCCTTTCGTCTGCGGAAGATGAGCTCATAACCGCTTGCACTGCAACAAAGGACGGGCTTTACTTTCACGAGCTACTCAATGAAGCAAAAGTGGAGGATGTTTCATATTTTCAACTCTTCCGCGACAACTAGTACGCAGTTCGCATTGCAAACAAGACTGGCTTCGCCAACAGAAAGAAACAGATCTTACTGATGTATTTTTTCGTCAAGGACGAAATCGATCAAGCCAACCGCAATATTTCTTGTGTCCGTCCATATGACAAGGACGTGTTACAAGTGCACGATCGATCGTGTCCCACAATCGATCGCACATCAATTGTGATGATAACCAGCATGAGACACCAACATGTAAAGGTGCTACAGAAGAGATGTGGCATCATGTCTTCATTGTAACATAGGTGGTCGAATCATGCGATTGATTTACCACAAAAACGATCCCAACCCATTCACGATATGAGCCTGCCATGCATATAAAGGTAAATGTAAAGGAGGGGAGGGGGGGGGGGGGGGGGGGGGGGGGGGGACCCCTCTGGGTGTTACCCACACCTGGTTGTTAGTCGTAACCCGCCTCAATTATTTAAGCTCGCTGGGTGAACGAGGTTGAGGTACCGTATGCACCCGGATATACCACCCTCCGAAATTGTAGACCCC